AAATCTGATTGTTAATTCTCCCCTTTAGCAGTGACATATTTCCATGTAAATCGGGATTGAGAATTTGGAGTTACAACTGTACATCAAGATGATAACTTCTAAGTGATCAGTTTAAGTATTCTTGACACCTGTTTGCTTGATAATGTATGGATATTATAGGGAGAAATTACATTGTAATCACATCTAGGACTTACTTAGTAAGCTCAAAGGAGAAGGACGAGATGTCTTGTGCTCATCTTTCTTGACCAACTGTTCTGGAAGTTTCTTGGTTTCTTTGGAAGTCACATTAGTTGGAATACTGGCTCTGACCTCACCTCCACTGATTGTGCGCACTCGAGAATCAGGTTTGGAGTACTTCTTTTCTTCTGGGTCCACACGGATCACATCGTCATCATCTTCACCCCATGCGTCACTCATCTTGCTGTTAAACTCCTGGAAACTCAAGGGTTTTGGTTTGGCTTTGCCATGAATGCTGAAAATAAAACATGTTCAATTATTTATAATAGTAATAGGACCAAGTGGAGTCCAATTCGGTCTGTAACCATACAAGTGATTTACAAAATTGGACAACTGCAAAGCAGCAGTCCAATTTGTTAATCACAATTATAATTACTGACAGAATTGGATGACAAAAAGTCGCGTTACCAATTAATCATAACTACTTCAATTTCTGAAAAAACAAATATACCTAGAACAAATAACTGCAGCGGAGACAATGTCTTTTGTTAATAATTCCATGACCTTTATTTTGGAAATTTCCCAGTTTTTCTTTGGCTAAGTGGTTGTTGCTACGATTATTTTGATAATTTCTGTGATTGGTGGATTAGCTGAGTGGATGCTTCAATTGTCCAATTACACTGTCTGATCACAACTGTACAGACAACTGTACAGAATGATTAGTGAAAAGTGAAGCTGCAATATGCACCAATAATATTTGATGAATTTGTAATGATTATGATTACCCTGTGGCCTAACAACTGATTCCTTAGGTTCCCTGTGCTACTTTTTAAAAAGGCCTGAGTTCTTGCACCATTATGATCAGTCCTTGTACATAATTATTTATTTTCAGGGTTCCTATCTTCCCTTTGGTATATAAATGTGCACTAAGAGACTTCCAGAAAAACACAACAAAATATTTGTGAGAGAGTAGCCTTCATTCTACTAGCAAGATGAGAAGGAAAGAAACCATATTTTATACAACACTGCTTGATTCATCATCAAATGCCATATGAAAATAAAATGTTGGGAGACAAAAGGAAGAAATGGTTCTTAGATATTCACAGCAAAAATATTATGTTAAGAAAAAGCTTGATGTACCAAGTGCCTGACATCACTCATAAAACTGAGTGTTTTAACCATAGATATTTGGCAAACCTTTTGATAAAATTTTGCTTAAGTTGCATGAAAAGCTTAGCCAAGTTCTGGTAAGCTAAGGAATTAAATTGTTGTAATAATCCTAAGGTTATGTAGAGATTCTCAATCCTTAATTTAACTTAGAAATTACTACACTTTTAATGACCACCAGATTTAATCTACCTATTATCATTAAGTGCATAAACTTTCTGCCCAATAAGCATTCGATAAATTTAAACATTATTTGCTGGCGTATTCATATATTGTTATTTAATTACACGAATACGTATTGAAGTGCCTAAACCAATATAGATTTAAGTCTGATCTCTTTAATACGAGTTATTTATGAAAATCCTTTGTCATACGCAGTAGGACACCTTTGTAAGTCCGATTAATCTTTCCTTTTTAAACCAATCCTCTTTTCAATGATCTCAAATAACGATGACCATAAAAATAACATAAAGGCTTCCTGGATAATCTCGCGATAGATCAAATTCTAAAATCAATACTAGGGACTATTTGGATTCAAATGCGTTATTTTCTGTTCCGTAATGAAAGAAATTTGATACGTTATTGTACAAAAGATAAAGTGAAATTCAACCAAGGAATTCTTAAATAAGATTATTAAAAATTTTCCGCAATTAGTGCAGTGGTAAGCAAATTATATATTCAAAAATTAGAATGAACCACGACTAAACGAAGATCGCCTGTTAGATTCATTAATTGACTCGGCCGATTTAAAAAAATAACCACACTCTTGGCAAAATAGGAGAAAGAAAACATCGTGATCATTTCAAAAGACTAACCGACACAACTTTTCAACAAGATTTTAATTTAATGTAAACACAGTCGTTCAACTTTCCCTAGGATCTCAGAACGGATGAAAGTTTGGTATTCAACAACTCTACAGAGTGCTAGAAGGAAGTATACACACGCAACTTCTTTGATAACTAACTTTATCACGCCATCATGAGCAGACGTTATAGACTAAACGTACCTGGAAGTCTGGTTGGCACTTGGCAAAACGCTCGAAGACAACAAGTCTTGAGTCCCATGTGCGGGTTTTATACTGTTTAGAAAGTACATGAAATCAATAAAAGGGCTTCAAACATGGCACTTAATCGACGGAAAATAACGTTACCTTCCTGGTAATTTACTCGTGTTTCTTTTCCAAAAGGATTTTTTCGGACTACCCGTTTCAAAAGTCACAAGAGTTGGATCTTCTGAAGCAGAATGTTCCATCGTGTTGAACTGAGTTCCGAGCGCTATAACACGCTCTTTGGCCGCTTCGCTCATGTTTGGGATAAAATTCGACTATCCACCCATCATAAATCAGTGATAAAAGGATTTGATCTCGTTAAAAGCGGGGAAGGTCGAGAAAAAACAAACAGTATCCTGATAATTTTTGTCGTCTATATCACGAAGTCACAATATGGTCGACCGAGTTCCTGAATCGCCCTCCATTCTATGTGGCGATGACAATATCCGCTGACAACTGGTATTTGTGTCGCAGGCTCACTTTGAGGCTTCACTTCCGGTTGGAAATTTGAAGAGCACTTTATATCAACTGTATGATTATTACAATACAGATATTTTCATCACTTCATAGTTCCATATAGAGAAAATGATGGAACTAAACAAGATGTAACTTAAAAAAATATGCGCAGAGATTAAAATTATTAAGAAGATGAAATTTTCTAACAGAATTGTTTTAAAACACCTAAAAGAATCACTGCAGGCTTTCTGAAACATGAACGCAATTCTCTACTTCAGAAGACTGGATACTCAGCATTGCTAGCTCGTTCTCCTTTCTTTCAAAAAGACAGATCTATTTCTAGCCATATCAGCCTTCTGCGAACTCTGTTCCTGTCGTAGAAATAATTCATTTTGCATGCCAAGATTAGTTTTTCATTTTCCGATTAACAGGCAAAAGAGTAGATTTTGAAGTGTTATCAGTGAAATTCAAATCATCGTATCGTTATACGGATTTGTGAGTAAGGAGGTGGGGAGGGAGATGACATGTTACCCCAACGGCATCCCTGGTACCTACCACCTATCATTTTGATCATATATAGTCCATTCCGGCGGGATGCCGAACCAGTCTATCAGAGTATAAGTAAATAAAAAGATTCGCTAGCTTATTTTCCCTGGTTTATCTATCCGAAAATCTTCAAAGCCGGCTAGGAGCTCTCAGCTCTTCTCGTAAAACATCATCTACTTACAAAAGCCAAGTACAAATGAATTTTTCCCATACTCCTATGCGTAAAACTATGTTCATAATTATTCTCAGATACGTACACCAAGAGACAAATTTTGCATGAAACCAGATATGATCGGTCACAACGCCGGCACCTTTTAAAACAGAGTTCAACTCATCACAAAAATCACGTGTTACTCAACAAAACACCATGGTGCATCCAGTTCACGATGCCGCAAAATATTGTTGTCATACAAATCTAAAAGCCGTCTTCTGAATTTACTATTCTTTATCGGTTAGACACACAACTCTTCCTCTATAGCTCGGCGATAAAATGTCGAAGTTTCACGTCACGGCGCATCATAAACACGCGTTATCATTACTTCGAATGTGAGTTCATGTTCTAACCATACCATAGTATGTTAAATAAACTGCAATTTTTTTTTCATGTTTTGGTTAGTGCATTATCGAATCACCATTCTTCTGGCAAACTTTGTTGAATAATTTAAACATATCGCTTTAAAAATTAACGCAGCATATCTTCTACAAGTCAACAGCACACTTTGATTTTCACATGTAAAAATCCTGAGACAAAGCTCACAACGACATGATGAAGGTTCTAAGATTTTAACTGGTGAAGATTCGCGCTTTTGTGGTTAATTATCGGCATTAGCAAGTCATATCACACAGAGAAAATACGATGATACTGATTTTACTGACGAAGAATTAATCTCTGAACGTCTACTTACCGAAATCCCGATAACAAAGACACGTCTTCGTCGCCATTCTCGAAGTCCCCGCTTATGGCCGACATCGGGCATAGGAATTTGGCGATCATGAGAGAACGGCTGTTGTCCTCGGTAGAGTAACCTGTGAAGCCAGCTGTTCCCGGCAAATCCCTGTTCATTTATGAGACTGTCGAGGCCCGAAAAAGGGACTTTCCTATCACAAATATATATGAATGATTTATAGCCACTGTAAATAGGTAACGTAGAAATCGTAAGTTGCGTGACAAGTTCTTTCCATCAATCGAAACCCTCCGTTTGAAAAGTCACGTAACTAAAGGATATCGTGTAACACAATCCGACATGTTGAAACGTGACAATAACTAAGACAGCTATTAAGTTTATCTTGTTTTGAAGCTTTTCAGTTAGATGGCGCCTTCTTCTTCGTAAGCGTATAGTTAGCAGTAGGATTCACGGCCATTTAACTTTCGTTCTTGCTTCGAAAGGACAAAACTTCCGGACAAGAATTTACGATTGCAAGTCCTTCTGCTTTCTTCCAAGATCTAACCCCAAGTTATTTTCTAATGTTAGGGAAGTTTCTCGAAGGCACCAAGGCTAATCCAACGTGGCAACCACACACAAGAGAACGAAAGAAACGGCTAGGGTATATCTGCTAAATTGTATCACCAAATTAGTTAAACAGAGAGACCAACATTTACCTGATTGTTTAATTTATTCTGGGGCAGATTTGTTTACCTAGGCATTAATGGCGAGCAAAGTAGAACAAGGGACTTTTTAAGTAAATTTATCTACATTATCTACAAATTTGTTCATCGCCGTGCTGGTTGGATTGCACGAATCGATTACATTTCAGCGATTTGAATGAGAGTTTCGTTGAACTTGTAAAATTTAATAACAAATATTACGATTAAGATTGTAAGAAGAACAATACTTCACTTGTAGTACACAGCTCACCTAATTTAAAAATATCGTTTCCCTCTGCACCTTTCATGAAACGTTTATTCCTCTGCTGCGCAAAATACGTCAAACTGGTCTTTGAAAGGCATCAAAATGGTGTATCGACAAACACAGTAGCAGTGAAAGTCTCAAAACTTTATAATTTCCATTCCACGCTTAAACTCCTTTCAAGTTCGTTTATTATAAACCTCTCGACCTTCCTTTGACGCATTACGCGTGGAATAACACGTATAAATGCATCAGATTTTCGTGTTTATTTTGACTTATCGGACGTGAGTAAGTATGATAAAGGTACTTGAGATATAGGTCTTCTAAGTTCCTATATCTTATTTAATGAAGTAAACATCGGCATATCGCATAATGCCAAGCTTTCGATCTACTCGTTTGCCAGAATACAGAAGCTTACTTCACTCTTTACAATGCTTTTCTTGAGTTCATTGAATAGCTGTATTTACAAACCGTACCTTTCTCGATAGAACACGCACGTACATAGGCCATTGAAAACATTGAAAAAAAATTGAAAAAAAAAAAGACTAGCAATACTAGTTTACATATCTTGTTAAAATAATAGGCGTAATATCTATAATTTCCCCCCAAAGATGCTATTTGCATTTGCTCTAAAAATTGTCACTACAATGTTTATCAACCGAGCGCTTGAACAGTACCAAAGATTTCCTTTCATTTTACACTCGAGCGAATTTACTTCGCTTCTCGTGAGAAAGAACACTACTCGATGATTCATTCTTAGAGAAATATAAATCTAAATCTCTTTAAAAGATCTATTAAATATATATTTGTATATTGGTGATACTAAAGAGATTTGATAAGAAACCCGTAGTGATAGGACCCCAAGTTAAGTTAAAACCCTGCACCAATTTTTCCCCATATTTATGGTAAATAACCCTGTATCCATTGGAGAACTCTTTTAGCGGTCGCTGACTTCAATGTTCTAGTAAGCTCTTTTATTTCATAACATTTTTATTAAGCGGACGGTTTAGTGCGACATTTGAGTATCATCCATAATCTACTGCGGAGGAGAAGTTCTGTAAGAAAGTTTCTCTTTACCTGATCAAACTGGCCCCATTATAAGCACACATGTTTATCTGTGACACTGTTCCCGGACAAACTGTTTGTGACTTAACAACTGACAATTATAAAACCTGTGATAAGATGACAGATTGTACCAATCCTTTCACTCCAAAGATCTCATGAGTATTTCTCCTTACTGAGTACCACACCATTCTTATGATGTTAGTTCGAAGAATTTGGTTTTGGATCAACTAACGATCCCCTTTTTGATATTCTGCTTTACTATCATCACTTTTCTGCTTGATATTGCATTGATATAGTAAGGAGAAATGCTGTCTTGGTCACTCATGTGAGTGAAAAAGTTAACAGCTCAGTGGGGTCAGCGCAACCCAAGGTTCACTGCACTCGACAAAAGTGTCTTAAACCTAAAATTAAATCAGTTAAAAATTGCTAACTAGATTCAGATTCCTCTTCCTCTGTGGCTTTCCATAAACTTGAATCCAACATTGAATCCGAAGTTTCATTGAGTTCCGGTGGAATCACTTCTTGTTGTTTGAATCTTTGAAGTTCTTTAGCCATTGAGTCCACGTCCTAAGAAAGAGAAAAGTGATAATTTGTGAGCACTTTTCAGTTCAATGTTCAAGGAATCCTTTGGTTTTGATTCACTTCGATCTGTGATTGGTTCACAAAACTCGCGCCACTCTTTCAACCAATCAGAAGAATAACTATATCCAAACACGACTTGGTCGCCCGCGTTTTCCCGCGCTTTAGGCAGTTTGTTTGGTGTTTTACTTTGAGTTCTCATTGGCTCTTAAAGGTATTTTCCTCTCTTCTGATTGGCGGTTGTGATTATTTTGGTGTTGCTTTTATGACCCTTAATCGAAAAGCGCACCAATAACGAGAGAGAACAAACAATTGACAGGTACTTATGGGACCTCTTACCCGCTGTAATTGAATGTTCTTTGTCAGTGTCTCCTCCAGCATCAGCTGTATTTTTCTGGTGTTCTCAGGCTTAGCTTTACCAAAAGGAGACCGAATCTTCTCTTTTAAAGTAGAAATCGAAGCGGCTGGGGATGGTTTCGCTGGAGACTCCGCTATAGGACCTGGAAAAGACAAATAAATACACATAAATATAAATATATTAAAACCAAATGATACAAGAGAATAAAAGTTAAAAAAAAAGATATCCTTCAGAAACGATATCATTTTGATTTAATCTTTTATATAGAATTAGGATTCTGAGCGCCTTTCCAGGTAGATGAAAAGTTCTATTACAGACGCCGCCATTTTGAATCTTGCTTATCAACCAGGCCACTTACATGTGACGTAACTAGGTCTTGTTCTTCTACAGTAGAGTAACTGGGTCGTCCGAATAACCTTACCGACTTTAGTTTCCATGGCGTATGCCTGAATTATGGCTGATTTTTTTAATAGATCCTCCGCTAGCGCTGCTCCATTTTCTTCAAGATGGCGAACCTGCAAGAGAAATCATGAAAAAGCTGAAGATTCTTAGATGAAGGAAAAAAATTGTAGTACAAAGCCGATGAACTAAAAGAAAACAATTTACAATTCTTTGAAAAAGTTTACAAGTCTACAGAGCAAAAAAAAAAAAGAAATAAGGAATTCTTTTTTTGCAAATTATTAAACAAATCACAACTTGAGTTTGCTTCGTGGAAGTTTTCCGTAGTTTCGAGCGAGTTTCGTGTTTTCAAACACTACCTGCATAAAAATGAACATAGGAGTATAAATTCTGCTAAAAAAAGAATGTGAACGTGTTGTGAACCGTTCAGTTTACTACCTCATAAATTGTTTTCAGTCATTTGAGAATAAAAGAAAAAAAAAACACGTAAAAATGATCAGAAAGATTTTTCATCAGTTTTTGCTCACCGAGACGACAGACACGTTGTAATCCATACATACCTCTCCTTAAAATTTTTTCCAAACTTCAACGAGAGGTACGTCCTAAACTGTTTTTATTTATTATTTTTTATCGGCCATAACAAGGAATAAGTGAAATTTTGACATTGATAACTGCGTTTTCAGATCAAAAACGCAACATAAGCATTCGACAATTATCCTAAGATGTGCTGAACATTCATCCATGGAAGCCGCCATTTTGAAAAAAACTCGGCAGCCTGGCCTCACACGTGGGTTGTTATACATGTACGATACTCGATAAAAACGTGTACTTAAGGCTCTTCAATACAAACCTTTTCCTCGAGGAGCCACTTTTCTTGCTGAACGTCCGCGAGTCGCTCTATCAGGTCAGTGGTATCGTCGTTAAGCATACTGATCATGGACGCAGCGGGGCTTGGGGGCTAAAGAATATCATCACAAGATAATGCGTTGAAGAGAAGTGGTGGTTGTTGTCGAATGTAATACACTTTACGTTTCAAGTTATTGTTCGCTACCTACTCTATGTCAAGCTTTTCAATCCCTCGTCATTCTGAAACCTGGGCTTAACATTTAGCAGTTGTATATTTGTTAAATTGAAAAGACAACAACAACAACACTAAAAACTTGAAAAAAAAAAAAAAAAAAAAAAAAAACTAGTACAGTAACCCTTCGACCGTAACTGGATCACTCTTGGTATCTGCGCACTCAATCAATACAATACAATACAATATTTATTTGCCATATACGACATTTACAGATGGAAAAAAAATGAAGAAAATTGATGACAGAAAATAAATGGCGAGAAAACCTGAAAGAAACCACGAGGCTTATAACAAGTCAGGCTTTGATAAGAATACATGAAAGTCATATATTTGTACTGCGGAAAATACATTTTAAGCAAATGAAGATCATCGCAGTATATACTCAACTTAAGCAGTTGAGAAATAAGGCCTGAAAAAAATTCAGGCCTGAACGGGAATCGAACCCATGACCTCTGCGATACCGGTGCAGCGCTCTAACCAACTGAGCTATCAAGCCAACTGGGAGCTGGTCAATTGTGAGTTCGTTATATACCCGTAGATGGAGAAGGTGTGATAAGAATACATGAAAGTCATATATTTGTACTGCGGAAAATACATTTTAAGCAAATGAAGATCATCGCAGTATATACTCAACTTAAGCAGTTGAGAAATAAGGCCTGAAAAAAATTCAGGCCTGAACGGGAATCGAACCCATGACCTCTGCGATACCGGTGCAGCGCTCTAACCAACTGAGCTATCAAGCCAACTGGGAGCTGGTCAATTGTGAGTTCGTTATATACCCGTAGATGGAGAAGGTGTGATAAGAATACATGAAAGTCATATATTTGTACTGCGGAAAATACATTTTAAGCAAATGAAGATCATCGCAGTATATACTCAACTTAAGCAGTTGAGAAATAAGGCCTGAAAAAAATTCAGGCCTGAACACACACACACACAACACATCTTATATTAGAATTACAATATGGACTTATGGTAATTAACTTTGACCGCGCACACGTACACACACACACACGCACACACATATTAAGTAAGTTAGTTAAGAATTACTGCCTTACAGAAGTTACAATCCATACATTTAACCGTACCCTAAATTCCGGGCTGTCCACTTCACTTCTTGACGGTTGACTAACAATTGATGAATCACTAGAAAATAACAACGAAATTTCAAAATAAACTTTGCTGTAAAAATAACAGCTTTGAAAATACCCTGAAGAGCCAATGGGGGAACTCAAAGTAAAAACTAGCCAACCGCACAAAGCGCGGGAAAACGCGGGGGACCAGGTCGTGATTGGTGATAGTTTTGCATCTGATTGGTCGAGAGAATGGCACGAGTTTTCTGGACCAATCACAGGGTAACACATAGCAAAACCATAAAAGTCCCGGATTATTTTCAACACTCGATTGAAAATTGCTCGAAAAGGTTTGCACTAAATGCAGTGTGGAAACGAAGAAAAAAAAAGGTAGAACAAGTAAAATCAACACACACTCATAGGAAATAAGCGCAGCTAGAAATTAAGCGAAGCGAGCGTTTTAGTTCTTCTGTGAAATAAAATCAGCCGACTGTAAACTCACCCGCTATTTCGCCGTTGATGTTCCCTGCCAACAAACATATCCTCAAATGCTTGAAGAAAAAGAACACAAACCGTTAGCTTCGTGTTGAATTCATGCACCGAAATGCAATTTCTTTTCACACCATTGTCACAGTAGGCGAACGAACTGGAAAGAAATTGGCAACTAAAGAAATCTTGTGAGTAGATCATTGAAAAAAAATAGTTAAATAAATAATTTAAAGTATATTTTAAATACATAGGTAATAATAAATAGGAGAGAAAAAAAAAGGAATTGGCTCTCTTGATTACAATTTACGTCACAGTGCCTTGGCAATGAAGTAGTTGCAATCCTCCCAGACACAGATTCTAGACAAAGTATTTATTCTGCGAAATTAAATTTCTGGTGATTGGCTCAGTTCTCACCTGGCTTGACTCTGTTTTCTGATAAAGCTTCTTGTAATTTTTGCTGTAACTGCTCGCCTCTTTTCCTCTCCAGTTTGAGCTGACGCTTCAGGTCCTTAACCTTCAACAAGAACAAGAAAAAAAATTGTGACTTTCCTAATTGTGATTAGACCCTCTAACATGTGCCCCGCTCCCAATGTGTAGTAGCTTCGTATCTCAGTTGGCAGTAGAGACCCACTTGTAACTGGAAGGCATGGGTTGGAATTCAGTCGAATCCCCTCCAAGCCTTCTTCTCTGCTTTTATCGAAATTGTAGTCTGCCAGCAAGGGTCATTTCTTTGGGTTCAAGATTCCAAAACAGTACTAAAATTAAATTACTGAAACAAAGAAAGAAATTGCACAAACAAACTGGTTCTCACCAGCTGATCTCCTTTCTTGCCGGCAATTTTGTTTTCAACTTCTTTATCCTTCAGTTCATGTCGTAATTTTTCCATTTCCTGTTCCTTTTCCTCCATTTCCTCCTGTAACCCACTGATCTGAGACTGAAATCCCTGTACGATTAAAAATAGAACAAAATGATATAAATTAAGTTTGGGTTATTTGATCTAAATAAAACCATTAATTTGGGAGTCTGGAGACAAACACGATGCCAAGTTTTCTTAAAACTCCTTCCCAGTAGCCCCTGGGCTCAGCTCGCTTGCGAAGCATTGGTGATAGACTCACCTCTTCCCCTCTCTCTCTCTCTTCTTGCAAAGATTTAAGTTCCTCTTCACGTTCCGCTTGCAGATTGGCCAGTGTTTGCTCATTTCTTTCTTTCTCTGCCTTCAAGTTTTCCTAAGGAGGAGAAAAACAGATTAAGATCACCGCATAGCCAAAACATCTTGGCTAAATTTAAAAGTTTGTTTACATTGAAATCTTCCATTCTATCCGAACCCAGAGTTATAATAAATATCCTACTAACTGGTTTTTTCAATCAGTACTGCACATGTAAGTGACGGAACCTCGTTTATTTCCGGTCAGATTTATAGCCAATTGGGGCGGAAATACTCGGTCCGTAACAGACCTCACACGCGATAAGTAAGAGGTATAGACAAATGTAACAGTTTCAAGTTGCCATCACGATATAACTCAAAATTCTCCCTTCTAATCTACAAGGAAATGTTTGATAGCTAAGAGGGAGGATTAAGACTGGGATCTCGCAGAAAAGGTTAAAGTTAAAGGTTCGTGAAAAGGTTAGGAATACAAATACCTCAGTTTCAGCAAGTCTTCTCTCAAACCATCCACTTTTGCTCTCTACAGACTGTAATTTAGCCTTGGTTTCTGCTAACTTCTGTTGTGAGTCTTCAACTTCTTTGCGTAGTTTCTGTGAAGACAACGACAGGGTTTGTCAATGCGACAACGTTAAATTTCAGATTCTAAAAAAATAGTATAACCATTTACAGGCAAAGAGTAGTGAGAATCTATGGAAATCATCAACCAGGGAACGTTGGCTTCACTGAAGATAGATGATTTAAATTCAAAACGTTTTGTGACTCAAAAGGGGGTAAGTTTCTTAAGAAAATTTCTAAAGATGCTGCCTCGGTGGGAGAGTATAACAGGGTAATTTAGTATTATCAACTGAGTTGATAACGTAAATTGGCCACCGTAAGGAGTTTCAAAGCTGACGTTTGGAGCGTTAGTCCTATATCGGAGCGAATGGAGGAAGAGATAACGCTAGAAACGCCAGGTTTGAAACTCTTTACGGTGGCCAATTTACGTTATCAACTCAGTTGATAAAACCAAATTACCCTTTTTTGTGATATATCCACGCTTAAATGCCTCTGAGAAGACAAAGATGTTGTTCTTTTCCTCATCATTTCTGGTTTTTATTTTGTGCGAGTATGCATCAGGCGATTTCTCACATGACAGTTAACTTCAAAACTAGGTCTGATTTCCATAACAATGACTTTTTTTGGAAGCTGCCTGCCATAACCAGATAAAGTTCCTGGCGATCTGCATTGACCTGGATCGAGAGTTGATGTTTGAAGGATTGAATCCGGCTTATTTACTTTAGACCACGAGATTTTCAAGCTCTAAGATACTGTGCAGTTACCGCTCTGCGTACATTTTTTCCACGCAGAAAGGCTTAAAAAATTCTCAATTATAGAAGGAAGGGAATCAGATTCTGTTTGGCCAAGAAAATAAATACTCTGTCTTCCCTTTTCTTTTTGTCTGACAAGCACGAATTCTGACGTTTGAAGATACGTAGAGATTCTAAAGTTTTACTGAAAGATTTCTGAAGCCTATTTTTGAGAACGACTCAGAGTGCCGAGAACACCTGAAGACGTCATGAACACTTCCTCTGGATTAAGCGAAGACCAAAAGCAGATTTACCAATATTCGTTAGTAATTTCATCTTTCTTGCTATTGATACGATGTGGTACAATTCCATGTTAAATCAAAGAAGTGCCTTAAAAATGATTAATAAATAGTTAGAAACTAGTCACATTACCTTCTCTCCCGTCAGAAGCTCTCTAAGTTCGTTAATTTCTTTCTGCGCAAAACAACAAAAAAATCAGGTTAGATTCAAACAAGTTTTCTTTCGTATGTTTTGCTTCACTTATTCAGTCCATTCTCTCTATTCGCATAAAACAAACCTTATAATCCTCTTGTAACTTGTCCAATTGCTCTTTGTGGTTCGCGTCTGTCGTTTGTTTCTCGATGGCCATCTTGTCAACCAATTCTTTACGACTCTTGGCGACCTAGAAAGCAGTGTAACCATAAAAACAAGTCACGTTTACATTAGCTAAGCAGTTTTCATGCACAGGTTTTCCACAAGGTAGTTTGAAAGGAAGGATATGACACGTTTTTCCTCCTAAAGTTCGTCAGACATTGAAAAATTGAAAAGGATAATTTTCTCGGATCTTTCTAGACTATTCCTCCTTGATTTAGCGATTTAATTGCTTCTCTTACGACTTATCTTAATTTTCTCTTTACAATTTTTCCTGTTTCCGCGCAAAAAAATCTGCAGCTGCCTTAAATCGGAAATATTAGTGGAACGAATGATAAACTAGATTTTGAACACGGGGAGGACACAACTTGATGGACCAAATTATCTTAGCTCCGACAACTGCCAAGGAATTGTTAAGGGTTTAAGGAAAAATTGAATTTCAGCAAGGCTTTTTTTAACAAACGTCGTTAACAAGTTTCCTATGCTAAAATAAACAGAGAACAAGTCGTCGAAATTGTTAATGGCTATCACCTTGGTAACTTCTTCCAGCGAGTCCTTCAGCTGATCACGTTCAGATGTTAGCTGTGATATTTGTTCATTCCAGCCTTCAACTGCAGTGTTCTGTTCCTGTTTTGAGATAAAATATGGAGCTAGCATCACCAGACAATCACAGAACAGATTTAGCACATGAAAATCAAAGAATTCTTTGCGCAAACGGACCTATTTCAGAGGGTAACTTAGAAACGAGTTCCCTGTATCTCAAGGTCTGAGTACCTATGGTAGTACCCTACGCTCGTGTGAAATACTATTTATCTTCATCTAAGTCAAATCTTCCTTAGACATGAAAAGAAATCTGATCTAAAGCTGCAACAACACCTGTGTGGTAGGTAATCATACTTTAGCAAACCGAGAATGTCATCGCTGTTCCCCCCCCCTCCCTTTCCTTCCGAGGACATGCAAGCTAACCTGGTGGGCCTATACAAGAAGCCAGTTTAAGGCGAAGGAGAGGGGGGTATGGTGAGGTGGGGTAGTTTGATTTGGATTTGAAGCGTTACCTTCACATGGGCTGTCAACTCATCTACCTCCATGGCCAGCTCAGCGCAGCGCGTCTCGGTCAAAGACACTTTGTTTTCCAATTGTGATATCAAGTCCTAATCAAACAGAACGACACAATAAGTGTACGGACATAAAGTACTCATTTAAAGAGCTGATCAGGAACGGGGGGGGGGGGGGGGAATCCCGCACGACCGTTGGACCCTGGCTTTAGAAGCTCGAAAGCAAGGTAGTGATATCTATCTGACAACTCACTATCTAGTGGAAAAAGTAAGTTGTTTTGCTACTAGAATGCTTTACTAGTGAGTATCAAAGCACAAAAACCAAAGTAATCGCGACGACCAAATAGAATGAAGGAAAATCCGGAAAAAAGCCCATGACAACTCAAACAATGCACACGTGACAGACGTCAAGAGCGGGAAAATGCGAGCATCTAGGTCGCGGGCGGTTTTGGTTTTGGTTTTTGATTCTGATCCGCGAGCATTGTGAAAAATTGAGATTTTTCTTACGTGGAGGGGGGGGGGGGGGAAATGAGGGGTTGGCAAGGGCTACACATGCTTACCTCAGACTCTTCCTGCTCCTCCCTTATTGTTTTGACTTTCTACAAATTACAAACAGGAAAAAAAAGCATTAAAATACATTTTATGAGAAATAAATCTATTCAAGGTCCACAAGCTTTGATCCCAAGAGTAAAAATGTTGTTAGCGTAACACTCAGTGTGACTTCGCCACCAATTTTAGGACCAGCTCTAAGTGTCAATAGACTTTCTAAACGACAACGAAAAAAAAGCTTCCTACCGTTCGCAACTCTTGTACCTCAGTGACCAAAGACGCATTTTCTTGCCTAAAATTCAGAAATTGTAATTTAGAAACTGCAGTTTTAAAAACTAATTAATAGATCTTTTTCAAAAATGGCGGGTGAAAACCCCAAAGCATTCATCTATGGACTTCACACCAAAAACCGAATAAAAGCCTATGTATTTAGTAATTTATTGAGTATCATATAGTCAGCCTTTTTTTCTGTTTCAATGGAAAAGAAAGAGTAATTCTAAATTTGTAAAGAAGAATGCATATGACATCTCCCACCGTCAAGCAAAAGCCTACGTAGGATACAGATGATTTCAAACTATCATGTCTTTGGAAATTTTATTCTGTGAAGTTTTCAGTAAGTTCTATTTAGACCATGTACTTTCAAACTTCTTTGCCAAATGAACGTTTAAATTTCTTGCTTCGCATCATAGAATCGTTTGAAAATGGGCCATTTTCGAGTTCCATAAACCACAACATCCAAAACGAGGCCAAGTGTAAAACCTTTGTTACGAAAATGAGATCCAATGGTAAGCTGCACGAGAATAAAGAATTATTTTCATATCAAAGGCTCTGTATTTCTGCTCGTTTTAAGGCAGCTGCATTGGACATCTCAGAAAAAAGCTTATCAGTTCGCCAGCATGCGATCATCGAGATATGAAGCACACAGGTAGTTTGGAAAGCAAGAAAGATGCGTGTGAATTTTTCTGGGCTACGCCTTCGCCTGCAGAGTTTTTCATGGGAATCTAAGTATCTCAACAACGAATAACACTGTATTACCTAAGTCCTGCAACAACCTGTTCCGTTTCCTCTGCAGATAACGACGCCTAAAAATACCAGAAGAGTGGGAATTAACATTTCAAAATGTTAACTACTTCAAACTTGAATCAAAGACAAATAAAGCGTTCGTCTGCCAGTCTGTAACACAGTTATTCATTCAGTCAGGCATTAGTCAGTCGGTCATAGTTCAGTCAGTCAGTCAGTCATAGGTCAGTCAATCAGTCAGTCAGTCAGGTCAGTCAGTCAGTCAATAGGCCAGTTTGAGTCACTTACACAGTCTCTCTTTGGTTGGTCAGTCAGTCAGACAGTAGGCAGACATACGTCCATCGATCTGTACAGCACTTGTTTCGGCCAATCAGTCAATCGTTCAGCCAGTCATCAAGGCAGTTTAAAGGCCTCTCAGTTGGTGCTCAGTCGGTCAGTCAGTCAGTCAGTCTGTCAGTAAATCAATCAGTCCGCCAGTCAGTCAGTAAGTCTGTCGATACATCAGTCGTTCCAGTCAATCAGTCAAAAGATTAGCCTCGATTCTCGGTGATGACACCCGTTACCTGGTTACGCTGAGATGTCATAGTCTCTTCAAGTCCTTTAATCTTTCTTTCATTTCCCTCTTTTAACTCTGTGTACCGCTGTGTAAATGGACAAAACCCACAAAGATTTTCTTCAGTGCCGATGAGAGAAAGCTTTTGCTAATAATTGCATTTCGCGCTTTCTTGTAGCTCTTCGCGCTCAGTTTCAATCTTTCTGTTATTTTTTTTAAGGTTTGTAGTAACTTTCGCATGCTTCATGTTCTTTCGTCGCCGTTTACTTTTCAATCTTTCTCTATCGCAGCCCCTCAAAATTATTTTCATTCTTTCCCACAGTCCACGCCCTTTCCTCGCTAGACTTCGAGCAGCCCCCCTCCTTTCAGCGAAGTCCGTCGCGCGAGTCCAAAAAGGAATAGCAGAAAGAAAAAAATGACATTAGCGACCGCGCGGAATTTTGGTATTAAACGAAAAAAAAAAACGCTCCAAGGCCCTGGTCGTTTCTGTTTGTGCTAACCTGATTGGCAGTATTAACCTCATCTTGAAGCTTTGCCATTTGCTCTGTTAAAACCTAAAGAATATGATACATAAGTTGATGAAATCTTGAGTAATTTTCTTCTTTTTCTTCCATCAAGGAAAATTGCCCAGTGACGGGTTGTCACATGACGTCACAGAGACCATATTGGGGTATTAAGGAAACAAAAGAATAAAATTGGCGGCCATGCTGGGTTTTTTGGTTCCAGTACATCAGCCCAGCTTCTTACTACAATAACCATCTACTCAAAGCAACTGGAAAATCACATATGATTCGAAAAAAGTACAAAACTGAAGCACAGAATGCATGAATTAAAACCCTAACCAAGTTGCATATACCTACCTCTATTTCGTGTTCTTTCGCGGTTTTTAACTCCTCTTGAGATTTCCTGAAATGACACGAAAGTTTGAGAAAAAAATAAAGACCGCCGCTAAAATCTTGAGTGTGTTGATAGAATTCCTGAGTCTTAGACAGCAAAACAGTCTTCAGTTCCTCAAGGGGTCTTTAACATTCTTTTAACGAAAACAGGTTAAGGGCTTGGGATCGAATGCTTAAACTCGGACCCAAACTTCCTCGTGTTAACCATCAGGCCACAATGCTAAGTAAGACTCACTTGTTTTCTGAATAAAGTTTCTCCTTTTCTTCTTGAAGCTGTAGGTAACTGTGAAAAAGCATGATCCCATATATTAGTGCTGCATTCATATTCAAATTCACCTAGGAATCATCCACATGGCCTCTACCGGCTCCACTGACGGGCCCTCTGCAGCTTGTTGTTCAAGTAAATAATCCTGAATTCCAAAGGTCTGGGTTTCGATTCCTTAATGATAATTTAACGTCTCTCGTGCCCATCCAACACAGGAAAATTTACACATTACTGATCTAAGCGAGCATAAGCTCTAAAGAAAATGAATTTTTTTCTATGAACCGAGACAGTAAATCTGAATTACTGCCAATTCTGTTTCAAGCAGCTCGGCTCAAGTGACATACCTTTCTTGTTTCCTTTTGACTTTTTCTGTGAGCTGCGGAAAAGAAAATAAAATAGTAAAAACAGATTGACTTCATACTAGGGTAAAGCTATTGACGTATACAAAAGCCTGCGACATAAAACAAGTCACTCAGATTCTATCGACACACAATGCACCATTCTTCTCACCTGCGAAAGTTCCTTCTCGAGCTTTGAAATTTCCTGCTTGCCTGACGTCTGAAATAAAATGTTTTTAGAAAAAGATTAAAGTACTTTGCCAAAGAACACACCACAATGACCTGGGCAGGGCTCGAACCCAGACTTCTCAACCCGGAGTCCACCGCAATAAGTAGGTAAGTAAGAGACTTTATCGGGGTAAGGGTGTCACTCCACAGCAATATTAAAATTACTGACAAACTTGTGGCTCTCAAACCATCAGACCACTGCGCCACCCAGCACTAAGTTGGTTTTCCCTCTCTAACCCACCTCAGCTTCATGTAGCTGATCTTGAAGGATTCTCTTCTCTTCTCGTTCGGTGTCAAGTTGTAGCTGAAGACTTGCCATCTCCTTCACTTGCTTTTCCAGAGCCAGGCTTCTGACTTCAACCTTCGTAATAAAAGTCAGATCATAGTCGTAAACAAGTTTCAAAAACACCCAAAGTATAATCAATAACATTTACTTGATAAGGACAGCAACTCAGGTAAGAAGAATTACACTACCGCTTTCGTATATTGCAGCTTTACACGCGCTCAAAGCATTTGCCAATCCCAAGTACTACACGCGCAAAACACGCACACTGCGCGTTACTACATGCACTTGCGTGTAATACAAAATCCACGCGAGTGTAAATTGTGTCTAAATTTCACTGTTGCCGAAAGCAGTATTATTTATCTTCTGCATCCAGGATATAGCTTGTAAAAAGGTACACAAGTTGTATATTAATATAAAATAACAATTACAATCGAAAATAGAGACCCTCGAAGAACTCTCCAAGGATTTCGATCCGCAAATTAGAGTAAACAATTTTACTGTCGCACGCAAAACAATAGCAGAAGACAAAGCGCTGGACACCCGACTTCATGACACAGAAACCGCTCGCATGTATGCAATTATTTTCATTGCAATCCGGACTCGAGCTCAGAGTCGAGCAGCTCTCTGGCATCCCTGATACTTAAAACAGCATCCTCATTTGTATGTACATGTACTGACCTCTTGTCGACGTTCCCGCGGCGGACTTCTGACGACTGCAGCTGTAACTTGTAAAATCCATAAAAGAAAAATTACATCTGCACCCTAACCTTTTAACACATAACTTTTGACAGTCGAATAACCTAAAAACCTTCAGACTTGCAGCATCAATGACACATAATAGTTACATTGCAGGTTATGAGGTAAAAGACAGCCATACAACCCTTTACGTGGAACATACATGATCGTAAATCCTTCTCATAGTATTACTATTAGTATTACTAGTACATTTTTTATCTAAAGGTATATTTCTGCAATTGAAGGATCTTTTCTAGGTTGAGGAACATACATGTATTTTTTTGGTTGGTATGACACAGCGTATCGTCTTGGCCGAGAGACTCGCTCTGAGTCCTGTTCGCCAAGTTGTCAGCTTCCTGGTTCACTATCGCAGTGGGAGACCTTTTGCGATAGAGAGCCGGATTGCTAACAGCTTGAACTTTCAAACGGGACTTTGAGTGCGATGTTGAACGAGTTTGTTTGAAAATTCCATTAATTCATATGCCAAGACGAAACGCTGCCTTTCATGACATCTCGTAATCTTCAACATCCGGTCCTTTCGCCGACGTATCAGTCGAATCGTCCCGAGTTGTTGCCGAGATGGAACTCGAGAACCGCACGTCGACGAAACGAACGTAAACCTAATCTTCATAAGGACAGTACATGTGATGTATAATGATATGAGCTGTGAAATTGCGGCCATTATATATGACGCCCTTAAGATTTTCATCTACATATTGATTCATAAACCTCTTACTTTGTAAAACCCGCCGACATCATTAATCTATAAGTTAAGTAAGACTTCACAGAGCTAACTTGCAATTCCTCAGGAAAAAAGATTTTCGAAGCAGATATTCAGGGGAAACAACTTTGCAAAAATCTTACCTTCATTTGAAGAAACAAAATGAAACAAACTATCGGCAAGTTTCCTTTTCAAATTGTCTATCTCTTCAATAAAATCCTCATTGCCTGACTTCTTCTTATCTGTGGAGTCAAACATTGCTGTTCCAGGTGCATTGCTCTCTGTTTCAGCACCATCAACTGCACTTAAATTCTCATCTATACCCTTGGCAACTTCATGCCTTTGGTTTGTTTCTGTCTCCTTAGACACATCACCAGTTTCACTGCTACACATTTTTTCACAAAATGCTGACAGTTCCACATTTAAAATCTCATGAAGTTTTTGTCTTGATGTTTTAGCTTGTCCACTTTCATTTACAGCATCTTTACTTTCATCTCCATGTGTTTCTCCATTGGCTGGCAACTCTTCGGCATCATTTTCACCTGCATCTGGTGATTGGCAGCTGTCATTATCATGGTCATCAGAGAGGGATTGGAGTTTTTCTTGTAATTGCATCAATTCATCCTCATGCCTCTGTTGGGAATCTATGGTGCACAGACAAATTGAAAAGTTGATATAATTATTGTAATTTAATATAATAATAATTATACAAACAAGTTGAAGAACACACTACAAAAGTCCCTCCTTTTAATCAAAAACTGTCATGTGAGTAGGAAAAATAAACAAAAAAACAAAATCAAAGAAAGATGTTTTTTGTCTTATCACGTGGGTGGGGACCAGAGGAATTGAACCTCAGACCTTCAGAAAAGGTCTGAGGTTTCGATTCCTTATTGGGATTCAGAATTTTTTCTTTGTCCCATACTTGTGACGAGACAAAAAACATCTTTCTTCATTTCTTCACCAAATTCAAAATTTACCATCTCTCTTATTTCTATAAAAAACAAAATCGATGATAGCATGCTGTGCTGAACTCTGGGGGTGATGCACTTAACTCCTAGATTTCTGCATGGCCAGCTGACATCAATTTTTTTCTAGCTGATTTTTCTTCTCTATAACTCAAACGCCAGACCTCACCCAAAAAGAGAAACTGCTGATAGTCTACATAAACACTTAACCCTTTAACTCCCATGAGTGACCAAGACAGAATTTCTCCTTACAATTTTCAATACAATATCAAGCACACAAACGATGAGAAAAAAGAAAAATCTTAATTAGGGGATTATTAGTTGATCCAATACCAAATTCTCCAAACTAACATCACAAGAACTGTATAGCAGACAGTAAGGAGAACTACCAAAGAGATCTTGGGAGTTACAGGGTTAATACTTCAAGCTAACGAAAACTTCAGGAAGGAGAAAAATAATGAAGTGAACACACAGAGAACCACAATGACTCATATTTCTACGGGCCAAGACATGGATAAATATAAAAAGACTGGTGAAGAAACTAATAATTTAAGCTTTTCAAAAGTTTTCCACAATATCACAAATGGTTGTAATCTAATGTCATATCTCTGCGTTAGTTTAGTACACATACTTGTCAAACTTTTCTGCAAAGCAGCATTTTCTGCTCTTAGTCTCCTCAACTCTGCATCAGAACCTGAGTCCTGGCCACCATCTTTTGTTGTTACTTGTTTTTGGAGTTTTTCATTGTCATCATTTAACTGGATTTCAATTTAAAAAAAAAATTGAGGTACATGCACACATGTGACATAAAGTGAATACTCTAAACAGTTCAGTGATTACATAGATAGCAAACCCATCCCATTGCAAGACTGATTGACTGACCAACTAAAAATGGCATGTCTGAGTAATTGCTTGTCTGCCTGAGTGACTGATTGTAAGACTGGAATGGTACAACTGACTGACAAAATGACTGAAAATCAAAATGACTGAAAATCAAAATGACTGACTCATAGACTTAAGGATTAACTAACAGACTGACTGACTGATTAACTAACTGACCAACTGATTGACTGACTGACTGACTGACGGACAGACTGACTGACTGACTGACTGACAGACAGACTGACTGACTGACTGACTGACGGACAGACTGACTGACTGACTGATTGTCTAACTAATTGACCAATTGACTGACTGACTGACTGTCTAGCTGGTTAGCAGACTGGCTGACAGACTGACTGATTGACCGACTCACTAACTGACTCTGACTGACTGACTGACTGATCTGCTGGTCTGTTGACAGACTGACTGCGTAACTGACTATCGGATGGATGGATTTGATCATTGACTGACAACTTCTCATTAACAAGCCATTCTTGTTACAAAAAAAAGAAAGTTTGCACATTACCTTGCTTATCTCCTCAAGAAGGGTTTGGTTTTGCAACTTAAAATTTTCCTCTTGTGCCTAAAAGTCAAAAATTCAGTTGTATTAAAAACATCCAAAACATGAAAATCATCAACTCAAAGGTTTTCAAGTCAACAAAAAGTTGCATCACTGAAAAATCTCATGTCTTGTTACAAAACTTTTCATGAATTAACATAGTTTGAAAGGAAAGATGAAACATCACCATGGCAAGAACAAATTATACTCATTTCGAAAAAACACACCTGAAACTGCCTTTGCAAATTTTCATTTTCTTCCAAAAGAACTGCATATTCCTTAAACAAAAAAAAGGCCTGGTTCAAACATGCTTAATGTATTACAGAACATAGCAGAATACATTTGACCAAAAAAATTAATATTACAATATCAATTGTAAACATTTTTTACCACACAGTAACCAGTGTTCAGTTTATCAAAAACAAGATAAACATACCTTTCTGTTTTTGCTTTTGTTTATGATCTGTAAAACCAGTAAAAATATAATTTAACATGTGCTAAATTATCATGCATGGAGAAAGAATGATGTCTGATTGTTTTTGTTGAACAATTTCTAACAAAGTAAATTGAAAAAAAAAGCTAGTGTGTTCCTGATGAGCACAGACTTACCTTGTTGGCTTTCTGTAATTCTTTTTCCTGATTATTGTATTTTTCTTGAAGCTGACCAAGTTCTACGAATCGGAAAGAAAAAAATTAAAACTTCAAGGTATTCTCTCCTTTCAATTTATTGCAATAACAAGACCTGGCAAAGGCAAAATTTGATTGAGGGGTCTGGGTAAGAGCCCTAGTTGAGTCACTGTGTTGTTTTCTTGTGTGAGAAATTTACTTGAAAACTAGTCTCTCTCCAACTAAGAGTACAAATAGGTGACACAACACAGTCAGGAAAGACTGGTCTTAAAGCACCTTGCTGGACAGCAACGAAGACTCATGTAAGATCATTCCCAGTCCTTGTTTTGTAATCTTCAGTGCAGAGAATAAATTTTAACACTTTAAACCCTAAGAATGATTAACTCCTAGTTTCTTCCTAAACTATTACTGTTGAATCTTTCATTAATATCATGAGAATAAAGGAAATGATTGCCAACTTAAGCAGCTTAGATCATTAAACAAATTCTCCTGGTCAGTACCAAAGGAAATATGTAGAGAAAAGTATGGAGAATATGGACACTGATGTTAGGGTTTAAAGGGTTAGAGATTGTTTTAAATTTGTATAACCTTGGGGATTGTTCTAAGTGAATTCTCATAAATTGATAAATTCAAAGCAGTATTCAAATTTCAAATGGAATAAAGGACAAAGACAAGAGATTTTACGTCTATTTTTTTCTAGGAATTGAACAATTACGGCTGCATGCATAAACTTAAAATTTTCCGTGTTGCAAATTTAATTTATGATAGTTTAGCTTCGTCTTACAGCAGCTCAAGATTAGCACAAGTTTACATCGAAACCCTGAGTCTGAACCATGCTGACTCAGTATCGCTTATTTCATACTTCGTTTAAAAGAATGATCACGGAAATAATTACTCTTAAATTAAAGCGATTTACAACGAAATCAAAAATATTGATCACGGACAGACCTGTCTGTTGTCTTTGACAATTAGACTCCAGCTCGTAATTCAAGGTACGCAGCTCGATGAGCTGTGTCTACAAGGCAAAAAGGACAAATAATAATAAAATTATTGTTATTGAATCAAGTCGGTTGTTGATGTTAAGTCATAGTACCTGCATTCGAGAGAACTCTTCATCTGACAAGGACTGCGCCATCTTGAAATAGCCACTTCCTCCCAGAAACCCATGCAGTTGATGTAGCCTCGATGCACTGTCAACTTCCGGATCCCGGGAATTCAATATGGCGCCCGCCAGTTGTTTTCCTGAAAATTCTATAAACGCAATTTAATTCAGCCAATCTTGATTTCCTCTTTGTAAATTTTCTCAAAAAGAAAATTTTCTATATTTATTTATTCTATTTATAATGTTTCAACGTTTATGAGAAAGCGATCGAATTAATCGCCTACGAATTTAATCGTCTTTAAAAATTGGAATTCGGATTTTATCGATCACTCTAAAAGGTAGGGAAAGCCTTGTTCAAGGTAATGTTCTTTTCTGCGTTATTATACTTCCGCATAGTGCTCTAAGCATATTATTTTCACAAAGCTATATGTTTTCTATATATATGCGAATCAGAACCTTGATATGTGCAGTTTACTCCAATCAATCTAACAGACGAGATGGATATATAAATATATATTTGTTTTATCCGACTTTGAATCAGATGATGGATGGATCTCAAGTAAACCGGATATATATGCCGGCCTAAAAAGATTCCGAATAGTCTCAGAATATTCCAAAACAAAGCCATAGTCCCAAAGGCAATTTATTGTTTTTGCCATAGTTTCCTTTGCTAGAAATGTATGTATAATTGATGATGGAGTTGTGCGAAAATCTTGCCGAGATCTGCACTACTTTATTACTCCTTTATTATTGTGACCATAATGTTTGATTCAGGGGTGATATGATAAAGAGAAATTAGATGTTAGTCAGTCTTAGGGGTTGAAAGATTTTAAACTGGGTCTCTCTCTAAACCCTTTTTTTATCTTGAACAGGAATTATTAAACAAAAATGCCTAAAGCAGGAAATGAATATAAAAAGAATGTCACAAAACAGTTTTGGAAGTTCTTGTCAACAGAGCGTCTCAGGCCATCAACAAAACTGGAGCTCAGACAAGTGTACTATGATCAGTTCAAGAAAACATTGGATCGTTCGTCGCCTACAGTGTCTTTCTCCACCATTCTATTTCAGCTGAAACGGATGAAGAAATTAGTCAAGAGTAAAGATGGTTCTGACACATTGTTATACTTTGAACGCAAGGGCCGACGTCTGGTCCTGGCTGTTGACCAATCTTTTGTACAGCGCAAGCAAAAAAATGCGTCCAAAGCGAAGGGAGAAGATCATGAGAAGGATATTGATGAAACAGAGAAGGAAAAGCTTACAGAACATGATGATGATGATCCTGTGATGGAGTTAAAAAAGTTATTTCTTAAACACAAGTAAGTCAGGTTGCTGATTTTACTTCTGACTGTGTGCTCTGAGTGAGAGTAGTCCTGAGCATAAGCAATGTTTTACATTGAATGTGGAATTATAATCTGCATTTAGATGGATTGGCCATCACGCTCTATTCAAAGAGAGACACATAGATGATGTCACCATTGGCAGCATTTTGCTTTTTTTTTTTTTTTTACCATAAATCAATTCTATACCACTATGGGTCTGCACAGTTAACCCTCTAACTCCCAAGACCTCATTAGTAATTCTCCTTTCTGTCTGCCAAATGATTCTCATATGTTAGTTTGGAGAATCTGGTATTGGATCAATTAATAATCCCATAATTGATATTTTTCTCAATTCTCATTACTTGTCTGCATGATTTTGCATAGATATAGTAAAGAGAAATTCTGTCTTGGTCATTCATGGTATGGTATGAAAATCAATGACCATTTATTTTTTTCTGATGCTACTTTGACATTATATGTGATCTATTACTGAACAGACAAAATACACTCACGTTTAATGCTGTACATAAGTAACACTCATTAAACCCTGTTAATTCTCCCCTCTAGCTGCTACATGTTTCCCTGTAAATTAGTTGAAGGAATTTGGTGTTAGATCAAGATAAAAAATTTCCACCTGATAAGCTTGAGTATTCCCATTACCTGTTTGCTGGATAATGTATGGATATTAAAGGGAGAAAATACATGTTCATCAGTTTTTTAGAATGGAAGGCTCAACAATCTGAGAGTTTCTTCATATTGTTCTCTATACAGAGAATCATTCGTCCAAGACAAGAATGGAGTAAGAGTTTGTTCCGATTTGGACAGGGAACACGGTGTGATAGACTTTGGCCAAATGCATTTGACAGATAGTGCGCAAATCACAGAAATTACTGTGAACAATGCGGGAACCAATGCCATTAAACTGAAGCGATTTGTCGCCTTGGAATCTGTGAGTGATTTTATGCTCTCAGATAAACACAGTGTCACAGTTGCTGGAAAAGTCAATAAAGTCATCAAACTACCTGCTGGGAAATCTTACAAGATATCAGCACTTTTTAAACCAAGCCGTTTAGGAGAATTTAAGCAGCTGATTGTGTTTGAATTTGAAGAGGAAGGGGATACACCTCAAACATATCACATAGCACGGTTCTTAACTGGACAAGGAACTAATGAGGATGTCAAGAGCATCCTTCCTGTGCACAAGTATCGGCATCCCAAGGCTGTAGCAAGAGTGGTGGATCCCAAAGTTCAAATCATAGGTGGAATACCTCCCCCACGGTATGTTGGCAAAAAGAAAAAATTATCAGAATAGTCCATTTTACAGTTGCACACTTAGTTGCCAAGCCTTTGAACAGGGGTGAAGCTAAGTGTGACCTTGTTATGATACAAACCTTGCTGCATTTCAAATGTAAATTACTTTTTTTTTATCATGCTTACTAGATACTGATCTCTATCACAACATGGTCAACCTGAGCCTCACTCCAAATCAAAGGCTAAGCAACTAGGTACCCAACTATAAAATGACCAATTTATAGCATAGCTGGATGAATCAGGGAGAGGCTTATTGGGGGTCAGGCACTCATTCTCAGTGCTTGGCCCTTTGGTAGACCTTTTAATGGCTTGCGTTGCTCAAGGCCTCATACAGTACTTTCCCACAAGCAAAGAAACTTGTGCAGAGGTGCAAATAATGTTTTCATTTAATGAGTGATATAAAAAAATTATACCATTGCAAGTTCAGAGCCTCATTTGTTACACACTAGTAAGAAAATTATGACTACAGACAGAATTGGACAATGCAAAGTTAGTAAATAATTTGGAAAAAAAATAAAAAAATTGTCAAAAAAAAAACTAAAAGGAAATTTGAGCTTCTTTAAAACCCTTCTGCCGAACTCTCTATTAGTGGGTTATAACCACTAATCTTTTGAACAGGACACAATCGATGATTCTCTACCATCCAGTCACTCAAGCATGAATTAGATGCATGAACTGTCCTATTGCATGTAAACTGTCTAATAACAAGCATGGTACCAACAGTGTCTTATTAGAGTACTTATTATAACCATTACAATTTCCTCAAATGTGATTGGTGCATTACTAGCTTCCTTTTCACTTATCATTCTGTACAGAATAATCAAACAGTTGAAGCAGCCAATCATACAAAGTCCATTCAGCTAAATCCACCAATCACAGAATTGATCACGATAAAATCCAGTACTAACATTAAATAAATCTATCATGATCTTCATTTTCAACACAGACCTGACAATAAACTGCGGTTTGCCACTCCTCTCAAAGACTACCACATCCCCTTTCAATTGCGTCTGGGATTAAATCAAGGCAAACCTGGAGAAGAATTATCAAACCTCTTGGAGCTTGAAGTTGGACCACAAATGCGAGAATATTCTCAAAAGTTTGCTTCACTTCTTTACATTGAAGAACTTCAAATGGAAGTTGACATTCGTCACTATGACATGGAGGATGTATTTCTTAACCCATCAACTCAAGGAGGGTTTCTTGTCCTAAAGGTAGTAATATATAGATTTAGCCAAGCCTAAAAACGGAGCTCACATTTTTTTTTTCCCACATGTCTCAAGTGCACAACGCCTTGCCCCGGCCAGGACTAGAACCCGGGTCGTCTGACTCGGAGCCCAGTGCACTGACCACCGGACTACTGAACAAAACCATGGCGTTGGTGTGCCTGCAGTACAGTTGACCACGCATGTTAAAAGATGCATCTTGTACGGTCGTACAGTCGTATGGTCGTACATCCAAATTTTTTCCAGCTTGATGGGTTACTACTATTTTGTATAATTATGGGGCTATGCTCTGCGAGCTCCGCTATAATAATTACTAATTATACATGTAGTGTTACAGAATTTTGATAAAACATCATAACACAATATGACTTAGACTAAGTTAAACTTAGGCAATATAGACCACAGGCAGTGATTATTTTGTGTTGATGGTGTTTTTTTTTTCTCAGGTACCTGGACTTGCAGAGAATCGACCATCAGTTGTAAGGGGTGACCAGATCTTGGTGAGGATCAAAGACAGCAAAGGGCAGCCAGAAAAAGAAGAGTATCAAGGATTTGTTCATATCTTGGGCTTAAATGATGTGCATTTAAAGTTTTCTCCCAAGTGAGTTGTTATTTCAAATAACTGTTCAAATATGTGTACAGCTGCAGCTATGATTAGCAAATACTAGGCAGGAAAATGGAGCAACAGATTGTTTTAAAAGTTAAACTGACTGACAGAGTTACTTGATGACTGGCTAACCAACCAACAGACTGACTCACCCATTAACTCACTCACTTTCTCACTCTTCCAATCTCTTGCCCACTTACTGGCTGAATCATCAACTGACCAACTGAATGAGTAACTGACTGACTTACTGACTCAGCTATCACCCAGCTGACTGACTCACAGACTTACTGCCTCAGCTTTCAACTGGCTGATCGACTCACAGACTTACTGACTCAGTGACTGACTTACTGACTGAGTTTATGACTGACTTACTGACTGAGTTTATGACTGACTTATTGACTCACTTATCAACTGGCTGACTGACTTGCATACTTGCTGACTCCGTGACTGACCTACTGATGAAGTAAATGACTGACATACTGACTCACCTATCAATTGGCAGACTTACTCACAGACCTACTGACAAAGTAAATGATTGATCCACTGACTTGCTAACTTGCCTATTAGCTGACTTACTGAAAGACTCACTTAATCCACTGACTTACCAACTTACTAGTTTATAGATGAAGAGATCAATTAATGGTTATCTGATCACTGAATGCAGATTTTTACCTCTGTCTGCTGAACTTATTAAATAAGTTTTCCTTTCATTTTAGATTCCATAAGAGATACATCAAGGGAATGAAAGTGAATGTACGATTCACATTTAACAGGACACCTTTAAAACTGATGCATAGAGCTCTAGAAATTAGTCTCCAAATGATTGAAGAAAGAACACCAGTTGCTTCTTTAAATTTAGCAGTTGGCACACATTTAGATCCCCTCTTGAAAGGAAGTGAGCTAGATTTTAGGTAAGTGTTCTCTTAAAGATGGAGGACTTAGTTAGGCATAAGGGAGGTGCCCATAACACCCCCTTTGTGAGCCTTTTTTTGGTAAAAATCGGCATGGAAGTCGACATGATGATCTGATGAGTACCTTCTGTTTGACACAGTTGACCCCCCTTGAGCTTGGTGACCTCTTTTGGGAATTAAAATTTAAACCACCCATCTTGTTTCCAATTCTGCCTTTAACTCCCAGATCAAATTTGTAATTCTCCTTACTGTCAACCATACAATTCTTATAATGTTAGTTCAGAGAATTTGGTATTGGATCAACTAATTATCCCCAAATTGATGTTTTTCTTTTTTCCCATCACTTATCTGATTAATTTACATTGATATTGTAAGGAGAAATTCTGTCTTGGTCACTCATGTAGTTAGTACATTTTTTAATTTGCTTCTAGATTTTTTGATGGAAAGCTTCAAAAAAACAAAGAACAGGAACAGGCTGTGAGGAACATTGTTGCTGGGACATCAAGACCAGTTCCATATTTGGTTTTTGGACCTCCAGGAACTGGAAAGACTGTGACAATAGTAGAAGCCATCAAACAGGTTTGGTCACAGGCAGCCCAGGTGTACTAATTTGACTTGGGTGATTTCTGGCTTTAAGGGTCATTGATAAATTGAAATATGTAATATGCTGGCCAAAATTTCCTCGGTATGAAATCTATCTCTTTGTCTATTGGTATTAAATCACTCTTCAGTTCACTGATGATAATATTTAATGCAGCTATATATGATACCAATAATTGACATTTGTTTATAAATCAACTCTGAATATAGATGTTTGATACATTTTTAGGTATTGAAGTTGTTTCCCGAGAGCTGCGTTCTTGCCTGTGCTCCGTCCAACAGTGCAGCAGATCTGCTCTTACAGAGGGTTATGGAGCACACAGTTATTCCAAGGTCAAAGGCCATTCGGCTGAATGCCTTTGGAAGGTCACTTCTATCACTGCCAAAAGATATTAAGGTAAGGTATATAAATCACGCTCAGGCAAAAATTAAGAGCGACTATTAGCATCTAATTTCTCCTTACATTATCACCTCTTAATCAAACATTAAGGTCATGAGAATAAAGGAAATGATCACCAGCTTGAAAAGACTTCTTTGCGGAGAGATGAAAACTTTAAGGCTGCAAAGGAGACTATAACTAAATAAGCTTTAGATTGTTAAACAAATTCTCCTTATCAGCACCTTAGGAAATGTATAGATAATAGTATGGGGAATATACATACTGATGAACAGGCTGTAAAAAGTTAATGGTGATTTCACCTCTTATCTGCAGGATGTTTGCTGTCTTACTTCAGGAGGGGATTTCTTTTTCCCATGTAAAGAGGAGATCATGGACAAGCGTCTTGTGGTGTGCACTCTGATTACAGCAGGAAGGTTTTTATGATCACTATTACAATGATTATTGGTTGATTGAGGTGCATTGAAAGTTTGGTGACAGGGTTTTGACTATAAAATAACAGAGTTGTTGCAGGCAACCTTCCTTATTTCCAATAGTGACAGAATTTCAAGAATACTGTGCATCAGGTGCCATCAAATGTGAAACAGAGACAGTTCATTGTGACAACAACACAATTTTAACCTTCAAACGTGGTTACCAAACTTCTGTCATTCCTCACTCAACTTAAATCATTTTAAAAACCACATGAAATACAAGTGACACAAGGAATATCATTCACTCATTAAAATTTCCAAATCAATACTACAATTACAGTTGATTTTCCTCTCTTGAAGATTGTTTGTTTGTTTTTTCTTTTAAGGTTAGTTTCTGCTGAGGTTCCCAACCATCATTTTACCCATGTGTTCATTGATGAAGCAGGCCACTCCCTGCAGCCTGAATGCTTGGTCCCCCTGGCAGGAATGTTTAGCACAGAAACTCCAGGAGGGGGACAGCTAGTCCTAGCAGGAGACCCTCAACAGCTTGGTCCAGTCCTTCGATCTCCAGTAGCCATTAAGGTAGAATAAATCATGAGAACTTGCAGACTGAGATAGTGCAGGATTCATTTAGTGTTTTCACTGTTTTGTATTTGATTAATTGAAATGAATTTTTTCAGTATGGTCTAGGTATATCTCTTTTGGAATGGATGATGACAAAGTTGCCTTTCTATGGACGAATACCACAAGATGAAGAGGATGAATTAGGAGACTACAACCCACTGATTATCACAAAGTTATTGAAGAACTACAGATCACATCCATCTATCTTGGAGGTATCTCCACTTATGTCCAGAAATGCATGCAATGATGAAAATGGTAGACTTGAAAAAATTTTATGAAACAGAGTAAATGTTCATGGATTTGATAATTTTGGCAAATTTTAGTCAAATTCGTCAAAGCAAAATCAGCTTGATTTTATCAAATTTTAGTCAAATTCATCTAGCCAAATCATGATCAGCTTGGTAGATTTGATGATTTTGACAAATTTTGGCCATTTCCATTCCTGCATGCATTTCTCTGGTCAGTCAACTGTGCATGCTCTGCTTCTCTATCTACCTTGCTTTTCCCACTTTATGAGAAATGAGCAGAAAGACTTAGCTGAAAAAAAGAGCAGTTGAATATTAATTTAAATAACTTATTGGACATTTTGGTGTGTAGACTATTGCAGAGTATTTTTACTCGTTGTTTGTACTTCGACTTGCCTTATGGGCTTGTCAAAATATGGCACAACTTGTAAAAATAGGAGGAAAAAATTAACATCTCCTAGTGATGAACTTCATTGTTGGCTGATATAGAACTGATCTGTTTTTTCATGACACATATATTCATTTCCACAGCTACCAAATGAGATGTTTTATGATGATGAACTAGAATCCTGTGCAGACAAGCTAACAAGAGAATCTTTGTGCAACTGGAGTCGTCTTCCTTGCAAGGGATTTCCAATTGTTTTTGAAGGAATCAGGGGACGAGATATGCGAGAGGAAAAAAGCCCATCATTCTTCAACCCTGAGGAGGCAGCTGTAGTTGTGCAGTATGTCAAAGACTTGAAGGATACCAGAGGAATCAAAGTGCTTACCTCAGAGATTGGCGTCATTTCACCCTACAGAAAACAGGTATGAATAATCTTTAGTTAACTCTTATACACCTAAAATCCAATTTTAAATAGTTTTATACCTAATTCAAAGTCATCTCTGCTTTATCTTTCCTTAATATGTGTGAACATCAATCCTTTTACACCTAAGGGTGATTAGGATCTAATTTCTCCTCACACCATCTATGGGGAATCAGTCTGTAAGGTTATAAGAGGAAAGGAAATGATCACTGACTAAAGAAGGTCTTGATCATTAAATAATTTCTCCTTGTCAGCACCAAGATAAATGTATATGTATAAAGAAGTGGAATTACAATATGCAGACTGGTATAAGAGCATATTGGGTTAAGTGACTGATTTAGAAGTAAGGTTTTAACAAGGAAATTCCCTAAAGCTGAAGCTTTCTTAGTCTGTTCCCATCACCTACCAGTTTAACAAAATATTGTACTTAAGTTGTATGCACAGTTCTTCAGGCAGTGGAGAGCTTAAATTTAAGTTTTAAGCTGTTGTAAGAGAACCAGACAGAAGATAATTTCATTAATTTTTTGTACTTTTTTGGAACATATGTATGGCACTGGACAGAAAGCATTTTATAGGTCATGACAAAATGTTAATACTTGATCAGGAAAATAATGAAAACACATGTAATCAATATCATGTAACTGTACATAATGCAAATTGAAAAATGACTCCTAATCAAGTGAAAAAGTTGTAGACTGAGATGGCTCCTAGATACTTTAAATTTGAAACAATCACCCTGCCTTTGGTTGCGACAGTGGAAATGTGGGAAAAACTGATAATAACAAAAAATATAAATAATAAAAACTGACAAGTGAATGAGTACAAATTTTAAGATGATACAAATTTACATCTGCATGTTACTTGATTTTAGGTTCAGAAAATAAGGACTTTGCTTGACAAGGCTAACATCACGGACGTGAAGGTTGGTTCTGTTGAAGAATTCCAAGGACAAGAAAGGAGAGTGATAATCATATCCACTGTGCGGAGCAGCCAGGAATATCTTCAGCTCGATGCGCAGTTCAAACTGGGTTTCTTGAAGAATCCAAAGGTTTGTTTACTCTTAAAGGAAAAAATAAAACTGCATTTTAAAATGATTTGATAGCACCAGCTGTCCCTGTTTAATTCTTAGCAAGAAAGTTCTTTATAGTAATCAAAAGATGTTTCTTTTTAACCCTTTTGTAGCGGTTTAATGTTGCAATCACAAGAGCCCAAGCTTTACTGATTGTGGTCGGAAATCCTCATGTTCTCAGCAAAGACCGACACTGGAATAGGTAATAAATAGACTTCTTTACAAGTGTGTGATGATAATTTAAGGCACAATGTTTTTTATTACTGGAAATCAGTCAGTTAACCCTTTCACTCCCAAGATCTCATCAATAATCCTCCTTATTGTCTGTCATTTTATTGTTTTTATGATACTTTGGAGAATTTGGTGTTAGATCAAGTACTTATCTCGTTATTGATATTTTTCTTTATTCTCAACACTTGTTGGTTCTGATTGTTCAGATATTGTAATGAGAAATTCTGTCTTGGTCACTCATGGGAGTTTAAGGGTTTTAAAACAATAGAGCTATTTTAGTTTTTGTACACTACTAGACAAGTGAACATAGCTTCAAGGTTCCATAATATTTAAACAATTTTATTTTGATTTTAATTGTTGGGAATATTGTGTAAAATGTAACTCTAACTTCTCAAAAGTAGTTTACAATGGATGTTATTTTCATCAGTTTGGAGAATTTGCTTTAAGATCTCCTGAGCTGAACCCATTACACCCCACTGTTAGTATAAATCTTCTCCATACTGTTCTCTATACACTTCCTGAGGTGCTGACAAGGAGAATTTGTTTAACAATCAAGAGCTTTGTTAGTTAATGATCATTCCTTTTATTCTCACGACCTCCATGTTTGATTCAGGGGTGATATTGTAAGGAGATGTTAGATGCCAATCACTCTTAGGGGTTAAAAGGTTATGGTTTGTTCATTTTCAAAACTGTGTGGCTTCTTTGTTACTCAATAGAGAGTGTTTCTCTTTACTTTCAACAGGTTCATAAAATTCTGCAAAGATTCAAAAGGCTACAGAGGATGTGATTTCAAGCCAGCAATTGAGGATGATGAAGATCTTATAAATCGCCTGAGGCGGGTTCATCTGGACACAAAGGAAGCATTAGAAGCTGTTGAATCTACAGCAGATGACACTGTAACACAGGCTGAACAACCTGAATGGCGCAAACCGGAAGAATTTTAAATTACAAATTAGATGAGTTTTTAAATTACCATAAATTATAGGGAACATTTTATATGGATGTTGTTTTTGCTAGAATTGACCTCAAAGGTCCATAGGCAATTAAGATAACTGGTCAAACCAGAAGATTGTGAGGCAAAATTTCATGGCCCACCATCCTTAGTGAGATGTGGGGACCTATTGGTTAGTGCCCTTGACTCCAAGTCCAGAGATGCAGCTTGGAGATCTGGTCAGGTCAGAGTGTTGTGTTCCTGGGCAAAACACTGTACTCTCTCCAACCAGGAGTATAAATGAGTACAGGCAAATTTTCAGGGAAGCCTAATGAAATTTTAGGGGGGGGGGGGGGTAACCTTGTGATGGAGGGCATCCCATCCAGGGGGGAGTAGTATAAGGACCTGCTAGATGGCCCACTTGGTTTGAGTACTGACTTAACCTGCCTCAACCATTCTAAGAATTTTCTTTGTCTCATTAATACAAATTAATTGGTCCTAAGGTTACTAAGTCCTTGTGAAGTTTTGGCATTGTTATTAACCGCAATGAAAATTTAAAGCATTTTTAACATTTTACTGCTTACTGTGTTTTTAATTAGTTTTACCTTATAAAAATTGCACATTTGCTGGGTGGTGCATGTTGATAGAGAAGTTTCTGTGCAGCAATAAGCCACATTGTTGACAAATGAGAGAATTTGGAAGACTGGCCACAGCTTCATTAACCCTTAAACCCTCAAGAGCTGATTGTTAATTCTCTCCTTTAGCTGCTACACAATTCCTAGTAAATAAGTTACGAGAATATGGTGTTAGATCAAGATTAGCCACTTGTACCTGATAAGATTGAGTCTTCTCATTACCTGTTTGCTGGATGATGAATGGATATTCTAGGGAGAAGTTACATGTCAATCACGCTTGGAAGTGTAAGGATCAAAGGAGAATTCACCACACCAAATAAAAGCTGTCTTTTAACCATGTTTTAATAATCTCTGAAATGTATTGTTCTCCTTTTGCGACACTACATGGGATTAATTTATTCATTCCATTGTAATTTCTTTTCTTTATTGATTTTAACACTTAAACTCCCATGGGTGACCAAGACAGAATTTCTCCTTACAATATCAACCAGCTAAGTGACGAGAATAAAGAAGAATATCAATTTGGGGATAATTAGTGGATTCAATACTAAATTCTCTGAGCTAACATTATAAGAATTGCATGGTTGACAGTAAGGAGAATGAAAAATTTCATCTGGGAGTTGAAGGGTTAAGTATCAAATGTAGATTGTAAGCTTCATTTTCCTTTTAAGCAATCAGAACTTATGGTTGTTAACCATTTAACCCCTAGGAGTGTCCAGCATCTAATTTCTCCTTACAATATCAGTCTTGAATCAAACATTAAGGTCATGAGAATAAAGGAAATGATCACCAACTAAAGAAGCTCTTGATTGTTGAACAAATTCTCCTTATCAGAACCCTAGGAAATGTCTAGAGAGTCGTATGGAGAATACCTGTACTGATGTTAGGGAGTAAAGGGTTACAGGTTCAATTCTAATTTTAAGTCCAGCACTTAAAAAAAAATATTTGTCAGAAATGGTATTTAAATGTCATCTTAGTTTTGACATTTTTTATTCTAGTTACCCATTGGGCAGAGCATGGAGGTAACAGTTGATGAAACACCAACTTCTCCTTAGTTACACAAGGCAATACAAGGCAATCTTCAAGGAGAATCTAGTAGTCTATCTGGGGTTTGTTGCAATCGCACCCCTAACAACATTAAGCAGATACTTTCATGCTCTTACTTCCAAGTTTCAGGCTCAATTCTGTTCACAGTCTAATAAATTAGAGAGTGAAGCTAAATTAATCAACTATTTCATCTGATGTTTGTCTCACTTCTCATCACTTCCCTGCTTGACAATGTATAAATACTGTGAGGAGAAAATCACACTTTATGTTTCTTTCCTTGGGATAATCTTAGCTGTGTTTTTCCCTTGACTTCACATTGGAAAATATAGAGACCCTAGCAGAAAAAAAAAACTGTTCTCCACAGTACCACACCCAAAGAATTACTACAATCATGTTACAAGTCTTAACCATCAACATTATTATTATCATGATAAACTATTTAATGAATCCAGACTAAGTTTCAAGTGAGATTTGACAACATTGTTGAATGGCAATTAATGGAAAAAGAGAAAAAATAGAAAAACAGCAGAATACATGTACTTTATTGTTTAATATGGAGGTGTTTATTGGTAAAAAATTTACTTTCACAAGCAGGTTGCCAATTTCATCTTTATTCTCATTTTCCAAAGCAATTGTAGAGCATAATGACGCATTTTAAGTATTGACTCAACCCTTTCACACCATAACATCAGTATTAATATTCTCAACACCCTTTAGCACTGACTAAGAGAATTTGTTTAACAATCAAAGCTACTTAGGTTGCCAATCTTTCTCTTTATCGTCATTTTCTAAAGCATCACAGAGCATGGTTGTATATTTCGCATTACTACTGACAACCCTTTACACCATAACATCAGTATAAATATTCTCAATACACTTTTCTGTAAATTTCCTTTAGCACTGACTAAAAGTGTGTGATTCTGGGGTGATATTGTAAGGAGAAATCAGTGGCTGATCACTTGTGGTTTAAAGTTTTAATGGAAAGTTGCTCTAATAATTATTCAACAAGTCTCCTAGTCTATCATTTTCCATGTTTTCTTGTGTACTCTCCCAGTGAAGGCGTCTTACATATGCTGGCTTACCACTGATGAATAAAATACCATCTTGTTTAGATGCTTGATTGACAACTTCGTCAACATCATCCAAATTCCAAAACCCCACCACACAAGACATAGAATCATTGCTCTCCATCCTGAAAACCACAGATTGGACCATAAGGGACTGACTAGTGAAATAATCAATGATAGCTTCCTTGCTAGAGTTTCGATCTAGATCATCAATGAGAATCATCATGCTTCGCTCTGTCTCCCGTTTAAATGCACCAGTTGACAAAGCCCTTTCATCAACTCTCCTTAAATCGACATTCTGGCCACAGATCACATGATCATGCAATAAAACTTTCTCCACAGCACCTACATCAGTAAATTCAACAGTGGGCCAATCTGTGTTAATTCGATATTTCACACCATGGATATCAGCATGGGTGGGTCGATGATGATCTGACGTCAGGTCCATTCGAACAATGTCTCCAAACTGTTCAAAATAAAGCTGCAACGCTTCTAGGGTGATATCTGCGGGAGCACCACGTAGAAGTACTTTGTTTGATTCCCTACTGTCAGACAGTGGTTTCACATAGATTTTAAATCGAGATGCAATCACCTGCAGTTGTTGCTTCAGAGCCATTTTAGCTGCATCTTCTCTCTTAAACACAACCATGCATTGACTGCTTTGGTTGCTGTCAGAATCCCTTCCAAGAACCTGCTCCACCTCCCCAAAAATTGAAAAATGCTTGATGAGGTCATTATCAGATATTTCAGGGAAAACATCATAGACATTGATTGTCCTTTTTCTCTTCCTTGCAATCTCAGTTTTGTCTTTAATCTTAAAAGGTCTTGCCACATATATCTTCCACCCTTTTATCACATGCAAAGGGTTCGACAAGACATCTTTGACAGTTTCTGGATTTTTGAATGTTACAAATCCATAACTTTTCGGGAAAACAATCATTGCATCTTCAACTTCTCCAAAGGTTGAAAAATAATCCTTCAAGTCTTGCTCGGTTGTTCTGTAATCGCCAGTTTCGAGCGCAGATACATATATTTTCCTTTCTTGCAGTTCTTCTGATTGAATATCTTTCGTAATTGGCAATTCGCGGGATTTTTTCAGAGATCTCACTGCTGGGAGCACTTTCACGTCCTTGCCGTCGATACGATGGTTGGTAGAGGACAAAACTTTCTCCGCAACCTTTGGACTGTCAAATGTCACGAACCCATAGCCTTTTGATTTTCCACTTAGTTGATCGCGGACTACTTTGGCGTGCTCTATCTTGCCGTACGATTTAAAGTAAAGTTCTAAAGTCTCAGCATCAGTTTCCACCGTACCTTCTCTCAGGCCAACGACCATGATTTTCCTTTTCTGGTGTTCAGGAGAAAGATTCCTTGTGGCATAGGATAGAAACCTACTGTTTCTGGGTAAATATAGACTAGTGGCAGAAAAAAGCCTCGGCGTTTGAACGAAGAGTGGGCATCGAAATCCGGTCCTAGAGAACCGTACTACAACCGCCATTTTGTTTCCTTCGTATTGCATTGCATCAAGGGAAAGTTTAAAGAAATAACCCAGTCCCCCTGTGCTTTTATACTTCGCTATTTGTTTTACCCTAAATAAAGCACAAGCTTTGCTTTTTATTTACGTTTTATGGAGGTTAAATTGCCCAAGAGAAAGGATACAAAACTCATAAATAACATTAGGTATATATCAAATCTTGAATTTTAACAAGGGCCCAAAAATTAAGATTACAACTGAAATTTCAGTTCAAAATTCATCTTCTCAAACCCTGAGCTCACTTACAGCATGACAAACTATCGATCAGTATACACCACTATAACATAAGCTCAAGTCCTTTGCTCACAAGTTTCACCCTTTACATCCTAGTATCAGTCTACAAATTCTCCATACTGTTCTCTATACATTTCCCAAGATGCAGACAAAGAGAATTTATTTAACAATCAAGAGCTTCTTTCGTTGGTGATCAATTCCTTTATTCTCATAAGCTTATGGTGTGTGATTCAGGGAATATATTGTAGGAGAAATTAGAAGCTAGTCACCCTTGGGGATCAAGGCATTCCCAAGAAACAATTATTTAAGCACCAAAATATTTAAGAATCAACAGATGGCACTGAAAATCAAAAGCCACCACCCTCCCACCCACCCTCTACAGAAAAAAACCTGGCTTCTACCCCTTAAACACAAGGAGTTAAAAAATTTTTGGAAAAAAATAAAAAATAAATTGTTCGATCACAATAAATAAACCTCTTACACATTTCAAGCATAGTAAGTAACTTCTATTCATAGCTCTGGAAGTACTGATATTTTGTTCTCTATGTGTATCATGTTGGTGATACTAATGGTCAAATTGCATACTTATTGACCAAGTGGGAGGGCCAGACATGACAAAATTTTGCTTGAGGTCACTATATACAGACATCATTGTCCATACATCCTGACCTTGAGCCTTTTCATTTTCCTGTCTGGCCTGCCCTCCATAATTCAATAAGCATTTTATCATATGATGGCTCATCTTTCTATTTCTTCCTTTTGAACATGTTTTTATGTGTAGGGCCATTTGCAGAGCCATAGGACTTTTTCAAGACCTACTGGTACTTATGCCATAATTTATGGCCCTCATACTGGGATCCTTTTGTAATATTTTCTGATTAAAGTGGATGCACAAATGCTTTTCTTACTGCCATGGCAAGTAAGTTGGGTTACAGCTTAGGGTATTGTACACCAAATTTCTCTTAACTAATTTTCAAGGAAATTTTTTGGTGGCCAGAAAGGAGAACAGTCATATCCTGAGTTTAGGGGTTGAAAATAATTTTCACAAATTCTTATTTTGTAAGTTAACCCTTTAACTCCCAAGATCTGATTGATAATTCTCCCCTGTAGCTGTTACACATTTCCTTATAAGTTAGTTATGAGAACTTGGTGCTAGATCAAGATAGCAGCTTCTACCTGATAAGTTTGAATATTCTCATTACCTGTTAGCTGAATAATGTATGGATATTGTAGGGAGAGGTTTTATGTTAATCACTTCTGGGAGTTAAAGGGCTAAAAGTTTGTAAATGTCATATTGATGATTGACCCTTTCACTACCAAGATCTAATTGGTAATTCTCCTTACTATCTGCCATACAATTCTTATGATGTTAGTTCAGAGAATTTGGTATTGGATCAACTAATAATCCCATAATTGATAGGTTTTCTCTATTCTCATCACCTGCCTGCTTGATATTGTATTGATATTGTAAGGAGAAATTCTGTCTTAGTCACTTGTGGGAGTGAAAGGGTTAATTGACTAACATGGGAAGAATAACCTCTAACTTAGGTCTCCATCAGTCCCTCTCACTTTTCAGCCAATGAATTAAAGTCTTTCCTCCTGTTTCTTGACCCAGTAGAAGCGACGAAGTGAAACTGGACTTCCACCGATGACATGCTGTTGCTTGGATGCCACTTCCACAAGCCTGTCCACGTCTCGTAAATTCCACAAATCGGCAAAACAAACTGTCGGTGAAATTAATTTCACAGTTTTCACTCTGCAGGAGTGTTGATGAAGATAGTCTTTTACAACATGTTCATCAGTACCTGATGGTAAGCTTGTCAGCAGAATTCTTAAACTAAGGCAGTCAGAAGGAGATAACATCAGGGGTGCTCTAATAATCTTCACCTTAAATCTATTTATTTTATGAAAAGTTTTCTGCAAAGTCTTTTCAAGGACTGACTTGTCGCAAAATGCCAGTGAAATACCATTCAAGTTAGTTATTGCTTCCTCAGACTTGTAACTTGTAAAACCAAGGTGCTGTATCAATCCAAACTTTTCAAAGTAAGATCGCACCATTTCTAGTGTCATGCTCTCAGGAACATTACTCACATAGAGTTTTGGCAGTTCAGCTACATGTGTCACTTTGTCTTCTGAAAGTTTGACAACAAGTGCATCTTTTTGAGTAGGGATCTGATGGGATTCATCAACAACAGATTCAACTCCACCATCAATGGAATCGAAGACAACTATGCAAGAATCTGGCCTTTTTCCACCATCTGGAGCATTTGCAAACACAACTTCTACCACTTTTCCAAATTGTCCAAAGTGTTTCCTGATTTCCCTTTCTGAAGTTTCTTCAGAAATGTTAGTTACAATGATCCTCTTTGGCTCATTTTGAGTAATGTGTCGTGAAGCCAGTGACAATTTTACATAAATCTCAACATTTCCAATGTTGTGGTTTCGAATCTTCAAGATCTTTTCAGCATCACATGCCTCTTTAAATATTACAAAGCCATAACCTTTGGATTTCAAAACAAATATCTCTTCAATTTCTCCATATGAGGAAAAATACTTCTCCAACATTTCTTTGCTGATGGATTCTTTGAACCTGGAAGGAGTCATGATCACAATTTTTCGTCCTTCTCGTTCAGCAATTTTGATGTCTCTAGGATTTTGATTCATTTTAACATCATCGAGCGCTTTCTCAATCCGCAACTGTTTCCTCTGTTTATTGGAATATGCCAAAGACACTAGCACCATCATATCATCAATCCTATGGTTTGTGATCGTCATAACATGTTCAACACTATTGGCACCTTCAAATGTGACATAGACAAGGTCACTGTTTTCTTGAACTTGTTCAATTTTGCCAAATACTGAAAAATAATCATGTACAGATTTCACTGTCATTTTACCTTTGCAACCTTTGCGCTGTGTCACTAAAATCTTTCGTTTCTGGTCTTCAGGACTTGCCAGTGAAGCTTTACCTGTAAGTCTCACTTTTCCAGATTCTGGATCTTGCAAAAATTTCACCGGTCCAGGAGCTGTGCTTAAAGCCCCTTCTTGTGAAGCTTCCTGACCTAGCATTGCCTGTTGAGCTATGTTAATAGAAGAATACCTTGTTTCTTTGGGGGTCACCCCTGACTCAGAAGCTGTCCTCTGAGGCACTGCTGCAGATACCCTTTGATCAAATGTGGCAGCTGACTCTGGTGCTACCTTCATTGATGCTGATTCAGTAAAATCAGGCACTACCATGGGCTTGGAGCTAGTTTTTTCAGATGTCCCTTCAGACCCCACCCGATCAAGTTTAAGAACTGTGTCAGAGGCAATCCTGCCGGATGCTGACGCCTGCTGATCAGGTACCACTGCTGTTTGAGGAGCCACCTTTGAAGGCTGCGAGTCTGCCCTCTTCGTTGCTGGGAACACAAGCACGGGCCTGCCCTTTATTGTATGATATTTTGAGGCAACAGCTTCCTGGAACGACGGAACATTGCTGAATGACACGAACCCAAATCCCTTGCCGGTATCTTGATCTTCTTCTTTACTTCGTACCCATTTCACGTTGCTTATTTCTCCGTACATGGAGAAGTAGTTTAGCAAGTCTTCCTCGTGAAGCTGACGCACTTGCTCACCTTTCTTCTTCTGTAGTACGATCATGATTCTGCGATTTCTGTCGGGGTAATCAAATCTTCGAGGTGACGTAATACTCTCTAACTCTGAGATACCGACTTTTGTCGTTGATAATTGTCGCTGAGTATACCATCTCTGTCCACTGTAAAAACTCAGTCTGCATACGCTTGAGTTATATTTATGTTTCGTTTTAAATAAAACAAAAGACTTCCAAAGATGAGAATATAACATGCATGATTTAAAATGACGGCTAACATAAACCACGGCAGCCATTTTGTGTGGAACACGTGTTCTGAAACCCAGGACAGCCTCGGTCAAACCGAGCATATTTCGAAGTGGAATGGTATGATGTCATTTCCGGTAATTTGGAATATTGGAACATTTCAGGGATAATGGAACTTTCCCTCGCTAACAACTTGACTTGATCTCAAAATTAGAAGATGCCCGTGAAAAATGACATTAAAATAGATTTAAAAAACTGCGAAGCCTCTAAGAAGGATCATCATCAAAAGCAACGACAGATATGTTATGAAAAAAGCCCTGATATCTGTACTAGATAGCCCATAGTTCCTTCCCCAGTTTCTTTTAGAACAATCATTTTCAATTTCTCTTGGTCAGCAAAGCCTCAAAGCAGTCCACTTTTATTGTAATTAACTATGGCGGAGGAAAAATAAAGAGGTGGTGGATTGAGATGGAACAAGGTCTACAGAAAGTTTTTAAAAAACTTTCTCTAGTTTCTTAAAAGAACTTTTCAACTCAGCTGTTAAAAATTCGCCGCCTTCAAAGAAGCCTCCGACCCCATCACCCCTTCACCCTCCCCATTTCAATTTTTCCAACCTACTTAAATTGATCGTTCAATCAAAATGGTGACATTCCCATAACCTTGAAAATGGAATCACCTTTTGTTTTGTTTTGTTTTGTTTTGTTTTTTTCTTTTCAAACAAAGCTATTTACCCCGATCACTGCTTTCATAACCTCAGCTGTTTCGGTCAGGCTATTTTATTTAGATATTCATCATCAGATTCTAAAAACACTAAATAGGAAATTTTAGATATATAGATCAACTTTATTTTAACGTGTTAGCCTATCATCAGCATTATAAAAAGCTGGTTTCTAGTAGGGGCGTGAACTAAGTATAATAGTTAAAAACTAATTAAAATATATATATATATATGAAAAAAATAAAAAAATTATATATATATATATAAAAAGTCTTTGATTTTTTGCTGTGATTTATTTTTCCGTTTTACAGTGCTCGATGCGTAGGAATAAAGCGCGATATATGTTGCGACAGGGTTAAAAAAGAAAAATTTACTCATCATTCGCTGATCCGAATTATCATCACTCAATAAACTTAATGAACTCGTGTCGTCATGCCGCCACAGAAACAAAACGTCACTGCGTAACAATTGAAGTATAGTTATGCAAATTTATAAAGTATAGAAACGATGGTAAGAATATTCTTAACAATAAAATCCCCCGATGGGTAAGCAATCACGAAACAGGCTTGTAAGGATTAAGGCATAGTCTCTCTGTTTTTTTTTCCCAATATCGCAACATACATATATAAGCGTATATATATGTATGTATATATGTATACACTTATGTCCATGACTTAATTAAACTATTAATGCATTAAATATAACCCTAAGAAATAAATTGATATATTACATTTGGTCTATAGATCGAAATAAGCTCATCAAACGTAGCCAAAGTTTTATAACTACGTATTTCATTCGGTGAGAAATTCCAGATCTTAGCACCATTATAGCTGAAACTCTTCTTTAAAAATTCAGTCTTGGACCACGGAACGGCCAACTTATTATCAGCAATCCTTAAATGATAATTGTTGGCCGAGCTCAAGTTCCTGAAAGTATTCGAAAGCCTCGTAAGAGCCAAGTCATGGAGGACCTTAAACATTTGTCCAGCCTTAATATGAATTCTACGTTTGCTTAGTAAACTCAAGCTAAGATGACGTAGAGCCAATTCAGTCAGTCCAGCCTCGTTTTCGTAACGCATAATTACCCTAGCACATCTGTAATGGAGTTTCTGCAGCCTTTCGGCTAGTATACTTCTTAATGAATCCCAAACCTCACAACAATGGTATTTTAAGGTATTTTTATCATCTTGCTATGTTATGCGAAGTTAACTTGACCTATTTTAACCACTATGTAACCGTGTTACCAAAGCCAGATGACTTAGAAGTACAGAACTTTAACTTAACTGAGGTCAATAATATGTTGTACATGCTACCACTGAAACTTTCTCCAAGCTACACTTATTGTCGAGAGTTTAGGATAAATGAGTAAATGGGGTAAGTTTCTAAAGAAACTGTGGTGCTGCATCGGTGGGAGAGTATAACAGGTAATTTAGTGTTAACAACTGTGTTGATAACGTAAATTAGCAATCGTAAATCGCATCGTACTCGTCGATCGCTCCGATGAAGGGCTAACGTTCAAAACGTCAGTCTTTAAACTCTCTTGTAGTGGCTCATTTACGTTTTCAATTCAGTTGTTAACACTAAATTAAGACGTGAATATGAAAGCGATCTTTGCAGTAATACACACAACTTGAGTAGTAGTGAAAATAAGGCCTTCTTAAAGCAAGATGCTTCGCTGTGATTGGTTGGGTTTTTTCACAGCTGTGATTGGCGCGTTTCGTTCCTCGATGTCACTGAGTTGTTTCCTCGGCAGTCCGATGTCGTGCGGCTTATTTTTTTGTTTTCCTCGTGGGCATCCACGCTTCAGGAATTCTTATATACTCCAATGTCCCTGTTGATGTTTTTAGGGTGACGTCTTATGTGAATTGCCACTTTATCCTTGCGAGTGTACCAGTGAGGGTCACGTTCAATAAACTTAACCTCATTTCAAAACGGTTGTGTTGTGGGCTTGCTCTGAAACGGCGGAGGTCTGGGCACGGTCTAGTCGGATGTCTCGGTCGCGCTCCTTTATTCTTGCATTGGTTATCCAGTCTCGTCGCTGTAAACTTTACTGTATTCACAATCAACGGCGTCTTTCGTTCCTACTAGCTCTGATCTTAGTTTAGTTTCCGACTTAAAGACAGTGCGACGACTTGTTGTTGTAGGCAGCGGCGTGGCTGTTCGGACAGACCCTTAACATGAGGTAATACTGCGGTGGATTTGAAGTTGACATGCTGTAGGAGGTTATTGACGTTTCCAAGGATTTTGAAACTCTACGTCGACGACAACTTTACCATCCTGGGTCGTGGAAATGTCGATAACTTCTTTACGAAATTCGCTGTATTTTTATACCAATTTTATGGTCATATCTTGGTTGAATCTGGTTAAATCTCGGTCGAATTTACGTCAAATTTGGTCTGTCTGTTTGTTTACTATTCATCTGTAATAAATCGCCGTTAACCATCAGCTGGTTTTGGGACTTGCGACGCGTAATAAATCCCAGCATCTCGCTCTGAATTGTTTGCAGTTGCTGCAAGCCTTACATTGAGATAAATTCCTCTCATTTTTGCAGTCTTTCAGGAATTATGCTCACTCTGTTCATAAAATCCTAGTTTTCTTAATTGCGAATCTAATTCATCTACAAAAGCGCCTTGATTTGGCTCGTCTTAATCTTATCCGTCTTGATTCGGCTCAGAAAGCACATTCTTGAGATTCCTTGCTGTTATTCTGTCTCTTTTCTTTACTTTTTCACGTTCCGTGGCATTCAAATAAAACGCAAGGTCAAGACCAACTTCACGCCACGACTCCACATTCATAGCTCGTAAGGTGATACCTGCCTTACTTAAGTTCTGGAGGGCTGTTTTATTTTTGTATTTTTCTATATGATATATAAATGAAAACTGGATGGTGAAATTTTTTATATTATCCGTGTACTTTTCGTAAAATTTTTTTAAGTTATCCGCACAGTCACTACAAGGGGAGTAGTTTGAAGTCAGAGTGATTTCGATGTCACGATTCTTTTTCACCACATCAAGAAATTGGGGGTCGCGAAGCATTACTTTTTCTGCGTGTTGACGGTGTTTGTTTTTGAAGCGTTCATTAAAAATGTCTTTTCCGTCATTGGCTTTTATAGAAGCGATGAGGTAGGTGCGCTTTGGCCAGTTTTCACCGTAGACTCCAGTGGGCCATAGTAAATCTTTCAAGAAATCGTCTAGAAAACAAAAAAAATATGAAACAAAAATTAAAAAGCAAACAAACTAAAACATGATTACTAGTACGTAGAAATAGGCATAAATTCTCAAATCAAATTTTAAAAAAAATCACTGACCCAGAAAGGAAACTAGGCAAATAAAACACGAAATAAACTCTTTGCAACGTCTTGTACCAAGTAAAATACCCCACCACCCCCCTCCAAATGAGTAGTAGCAAAACTCATTTTCGCTTCAGCAAAGGCGACCACTTGTAGGTCTCATGGCTCAAGTGATGTTATCTTTTACCTTTGCATGTACACAGAGCGACTAAATGATAAGGAAAAGAACGAAAGAAATAAGGACGGCTTACTTACCAGGGGCCTGAGTGCGTGGAACAATCGACAGGCGAACAACTGGACAGACATAGGCACTAAAGGCTGATAAGTGGCCCAAATGCATATATATATTACAGAGTATTTCTTGGCCCACATGTAACCTCCATGCTTTAAATTACGTATGCAGTTACTGAATTTCCTTCACGTACCTGGGACAGAGGAAAACCATACCCGTAAGGTTCCGAAACAAGTCTGAGTTCGGAAGCTTGGTGATCTACTGTCCTTTATGTCTGGCTTGTCTCTGTTTTTCGGAGTAACTGTGGCGTAAAGATCGGTGAAACATAAGTTCCACTGACTAACTTAAGATATCCTTTTGATCCAAATTATCTGTTAATAATGGCTACATTCCCACGACAGTAAAAGGTAGGAACAACATTACAAGATGTTGAATTGTTTTGAATATCTAGGGACACTTACCATTGTAGTCAGAACCAGTGGCTGACCGACATGGTGTTCTATTTTTTTTTTTTTTTTTTTTTTTTTGCAGTTTTAATTTTATTTGCGCGTGTTGCTTGAGCCAGTTTACCCCAACAGTCCAATAGATTGCATATTAAAAAATATTGCATTTCCAAAAACGATTTACCCCAACAGTCCAATAGATTGCATATTAAAAAATATTGCATTTCCAAAAACGATTAGCGTTTAAAACTCGGGGGAAATAAAGAATAATTTTAATGACAAGGGCAAAACTGATTGCAACAGGTTTTAGCTGTTTTAAAGCTTCATGTTTAAAATAATCGCCCTTGTGATGTCCCTGGTGGCAAATCGCATTGCTGATAAAAAATGATAATTCAGATATTTCTTTCGCAGTTGGAGTGTTGTTGTATACCATGGCCAATATTTGTGTTCCACTGGAAGGTACGTGAAGTGTTCCTGAACTCGCAAATAAAAATAATAAATACATAATTAATCGAACGTGGCGCCAAAAAGAGACAAATTGAAATTAGTAAAAAGCTGAATACGTCTCTAAGGCAAGAATATTTACACCTGAATTTTGCATTTTGTCGGATGTGTTGCCGATTATCTTAGTCGAGCGCATATCGAACGGATGATTTTTAAGGCGCAGCTAACCAAAAGGTGATTCGTGGCAATTTTTTTCGTTAGACGCTCCTGCCATCGATGCAAGTATCAGTTCGTTATTCAGAGAAAGAATCCAGTTAAACTATCAATTTAGGGTATCAGCGAAGGCGACAGATGTTTAGCAAGCGACCCTGTGACACTAGACAATGGTTTAAACAGGCGACCAACGTAAAGGCAACGGAAATTTCCTCTTCTTGATCATGCGGATAACCTGTTTTTTAACTGGAACGCGGAAAAACAGAACACCAAACCGGAATTCTATAAAAACTTAAATAATGACTCATTAATTTTCATCTTGGTTTAAAATGAAAATTAACTTCCTCTAAGCTGTAAAAAAGATATGGAACTTTTGCATGAACAGAATAAATTTGGCCTTCGAAACACTCTACAAGCTACCGTAAAATTTACCCGAAGACAGTTCGAAGACGGTTTCATGGCTTTGAAGTTCTTCTGTAACGAAGTGGTGGTCTAAATTATGCCGAACGCGCGACTGACCTGTTTTTTATGTGGAACGCGGAAAAAACAGAACACCAAACCATAAATATGTCAAAACTATGTTGATGACCCATCAATTTTTATCTTAGTTTAAACTGAAAATTAACTGCGAAAAAGAAATATGGAACTATTGCATGAACAGAATAAATTTGGCTTTCGAAACACTCTGTAAGCTATCGTAAATAAACAAATGTTCAATCTGAATCTGAATCAAATTGTAAGTTTTACCTCAGCCAAGAGTTTCTCCTTATTACTTCAATATTTAAGAAGAAATCCTACTATGATGATACCTACTATGATTAAAGATTATTCTGCCAAGGAGGACTAGTGTTTGGCGAGCGCATGATAATGGACAAAGGTTTGAACCAGAGATCTTCGTTAATAGCGAAGGCTTCATCTTCATCTTACTTTCGATTTTAATTTCCTTCCTGTTGATTGCAATAACGTCATGTTGAGTTTGCCCTACCCGCGCGGTACTGGGATAAGTTTGCTTATTATGGTCTGGACCATGTGCTCGAGTTTATTGTTTTTGTCACGTTTTTCCTTCAGGCCCACAAATTTTGTGTTTGTTTCGTTTAGTTTCCTTTATTCGAATCTTATTGTTTCCCTTTTTCTTTTAGTCAAACCAGATCTTACTTCTCATATGCTAAAGACAGATCAAACCAAATATTTATCTATACTTTCGCTGAGCTGAAATAAAAAAAGATGAGACAAGGCAAGAGATTATAGTCAATCGCTCAGGAACACCTGCAGAACACACTTTTTTCCCCGCGTTCTTAAAGGCGAGCGGAGACAAACACTTTGCGGGAGTCACGCACATACCAAATAAATCAATTTTACTCGACAAATTGTATTGGACAGAGCCACTTAAATCGTCGTGTCTTTCTTTTAGATCCAATGTTACCTTCGGAGATTATCTAACCCGTCAAAAATATTCTTATGTTGATACCTAGTGACAACAAAAGCTCAACTTGCGCTCGCACTGCTTAAAAATGTTCCTGTTCCTAAAGCTAACTGAAGTTCTTTCAGCACCAGTTTCATAGATACAGGATCTTCCGTATTGTTTTTCTTCCTGGCTTTCACTGCGTGCATGACGTCACTGGTCATATCTTTGATGTCTTTCAACTCGCTTGTGCAGACTTTGATCTTTTGTTCCTTTTCTTTGTCTTTAGTCTCTGAGGAAGAAAATCTAAGAGATGATATGATAATCCATCACAGGCTGACCCCACTACCCCTCCCTCCCTCAGCATTTCTATGCAGTGCGGTACATATTTATACTCGTAGTGAAAGGAGGTTTTATGAGGGCAGCGTGCGTGCTTACCCGTAAATACAAATTAATAACCGGTCGATGCTTATATCCGGACTTTGGGATCGGGAGTTCGGACAACCAACCGTTGGGCCACCGCGAACATTTTTTTCAGAGCTTGAAAGCTCTGTTAATATAAACACAGTTGGCTTTCTCTTCCGGCTCCCGAAATAAATAAGTAATTCTTGATTCTTAATAAAGTGAAATCGTTTAGCTCAATACTTAATGCTTTATTATTCAACTTGTTCGGTCAAGATGGCTGCATAAGCGCCTCTTTCTTTTTCCCCGTTTTTATGTACCTCGATTTCGGCTCCGTCCATGAAAGTGCAAGAAAATAACTCAGCCAATATCCAGCCGTCTCGACCTCACTCATATATTTTAACCTCTACCTCCCATGACGTTCTTTTTCACAACACTTTTTATCATTTTTTTCTTTCAATCATTTCCCTCACCCTTTGATGTCTGTCGAACCACAACCGCGACTTTCTTCAATACAACATGAACAACATTGCACGCCATTTCCAAGTTGTTGAGAAGAGGACTGAACGAAATTGTTAAAAGAACGGATAGGAATAACAAATAGACACGCTTAAAAACCTTTTCGGACTAAACATTAATTGAGAAATTATGTTGGTGACTCATCTCTCCTCACATAGCACAGACTTTTGCTGACGGAGATCTTCATCGATCCTAGGCAAATTACGTTGAAACTTTGTCGAAGAAATTGAAAAATTCGCTCCAAATATTTCCCTTTGGTTTTTGTAACGTGTTCAATAGACACCAACGTAGAATACGTGGTTTTTACCAAATAGGAGCATAAGTTTTCATTAAATCGAAATCAAATCCAACATATTGACAATCTTTTGGAAATTTTTTTCCTCGAGTGAAGGATTCGGAATTTGACATGCTGTTCCTTTCACTGACATTCTCCATGCGACTCACGATAAGCAAAACCTCAATCACTATTGCGAAACCTAGAATTCATTTATTTCATGTCAAAACTATCTCTCGAAATGCAAAGTTATTTTTTGATATAGTGATAAAAAACGAGGATTTAGAGCTTGCTCTCCTTTTTAACAGTCCTATTAAAATACAATTCATTTGTATAAAAAAAATAAAATAAAAAAATAAAAAAAGAGCGAACGGGGAATAAAACAATCCTTTTAGCCCAGGAAGGACGAACTCGCAGAGATCAAGAGTCCACATGGCACTGCGCATAAGTTCAACAAAGAACAGCAATGATAACGATACAATGATAGTAATGACGGTAATTTTAGAACAATAATTAGAATAATGATAACAAATACAGAAATAATGACGATGATAATAGCCATAATAATTCGGGCTTTTATACTTGTAAATGCCTAGAATGTTGGCATCTGAAGGAAATTTAGAACCAGATTTCCTGAGGATGCAAGGTCAGTCAGAGTTGGAGGGTAAATGCGCAAAATTCACACATTACTTGACAGGAAGCTTTAAAAGCGCGCAAAAGAAGAGAAAGAATTGAACGATAAATCATTGAAGATTTTTTTTTTCATGTGTCTATACATAAACCGGAGTAACGATCGTCACTTCGGTTCGAGGATTCACTTGGACTTGGACGTTCCTATAAACAGAAAGATTATAACTTATAATTAATCAACCTCGTAACTGACAGTCTGAAGGGCAAACTCATGAAAAGAAAGAAATACTCACTATGATGCACAAAACCCTGCCATGTTACCTCGTGCTACAAGTAGGCGCGAAATTAGCCAAGCGCATTAGAGGTTACCTCAGAGCGCTGCTGGCTACTTCCTCTGTTAGCAACGTTCTTTATGATTTGCCAAGCCACCGCAGTGAGCAGGCAAAGCGTACTTATCAGGTCAGGAACTGTCATGGGAAGTTCTTTTGTTCTTTTTGATGTATCCATGGAAATAACCCAAGGGCCGTTGCAGTCTAGGGGTTACACACAAAAACGTCGTTGCCCGTGGGCAAACGCTATTTACCCATGGGTAAAAGGGCTAGTCTGACCACGCGACATTAGACAATGGTTAAAATAGGCGGCCTTCGTATAGTCAATAGGATTTACCCTTCTTGCTTCTTGCGGGTAACAATATTTCGCGTAGTATCTAAGGGAAATGAATAAAGGGGGTAAGTTTCTAAAGAAACTGTGGTGCTGCGTCGGTGGGAGAGTATAGCAGGTAATTTCGTGTTAGCAACTGAGTTGAAAACTTAAATTGGCCTCCGTTAAGGGTTAAAAGGCTGACGTTTCGAGCGTTAGCCCTTTGTCAGAGCGATAAACGAAGGGCCAACTTTCGAAACGTCAGCCTTTCAACTCTTTACGGTGGCCAATTTACGTTTTCAACTCAGTTGTTAACACTAAATTACCAGTTCTAAGGGAAAGTCTGTTTCATGGCTTTGAAGTTCTTCTGTAACGCAGTGGTGGTCTAATCTGTGCCGAACGCTCGACTGACCTATTGGTCCTACTGGAACATGGGAAAAACAGATTTTCATTTTTTCTGCCCCACTTCAATTAATTGTTCAATGATACTGCTGACTTTGCCATAACTTAAAGAATGGAATTGACGTTTTTTTTTCAAACAACATTATTTAGATAGCTATTTTCACAACTTCACCTGTGTTAGTCATGCTATTTTATTAATTAAGCTTTCAAAATTCTGCAAACATAAGAAACGAAACGTTAAGGATTGTTTATCATCTTGAAATGTTATTCGAAATTAATTTGACCTATTCTTACTGTAGTGTATTGCGTTACATTTCGTTACCACTGTAAGGACATTTGAAACACCATGCGCCACTGAAAGCTTGAGGAGTGTTTAATGCAATCTACATAATGTTACATGTTACAATGTGGTAACTTATACAGCAAAATTATATAATCACACAATTCCAACCAAAGGAAGTCAGGTTATAGACTTTTGAGGGCTTAAGGTACAGAGAAATAGCCAAATATGGTAAACAGTTACAACTGATACAGAGTTTAAAGTTTGAAAGCTAAAAGATATACATTGGAATCATCAAACCCTATGCATCCTAGCGAAAAATAGGGTCAATTACGACTATAACTTCTCCCAAACGTTTATGTTTACAGGAAATTATAAATTTTTGTCTTTAGGCACAAGGTGGTACTGTACTTATCAATCGTGTCGTAAATCTACTTTCCTAATGGTATGGTAAATATATTATCTTGATCGTTGAATAAAAGAGAGTTGAACTAGAGCATGCAATGAGAGAAGTCACTTGACCTATGAATACTCTACTAACCACTATTTAACTATGCTATGAAAGCCAGATGGATAAGATATATACGTATATATATATGCTAATGTACCTAAGGTCAATAACTGACATATTACACTTGACTAGCACTTTCTCTAAGTTACATTTATAATGAGGAAGAATTTTTTTCGTCCTTGCCATTTGTTCAGAACTACGGCTTCTTCAAAAACCACATCGTTTTTCAGAGCCATAGGTCCAAGTAGACTTGCCTCGTTTCAGGTGTCCTAAAATTTCATCTGCTTGTTGAATCGTGAAGACAATTCATCAACAGAGGTGTCTTGAACTTGCTCTTTTTTATATAGAGAGAGCACGCGATATAGTTCATCAGCTGTATTTTTGTCTCTTTCAGTTATTCTTTTTCTATCTTTCTCCTCCATAGCATTAAGGTCAATTCCAACTTCACCCCACGAGTCTGGATTCATGGCTTGTAAGGTTACACCTGCTTCGTACAGGTTTCGGAGGCCATTTTGATTTTCTTCGTTTTGTATATAATACAAGTGTGAAAACTGGATGATGAACTTTGTGATTTTCTTTTTGTGACTTTCATAAAATGATTGTAATTTCTTTGCACATTTACTACAGGGTGAGTAGTTTAAAGTCAGAATGACTTCGATGTAACGATCACCAGCTACTGTGATACGAAAGTAAATATTGTCAAGCATTATTTCTTCTGCATGTTTGTATGGTACGTTTTCAAAGCGCTGATTGAAAATCTTCCCATCATTGACATCTTTGACGACAGTGATTAGGTACGTGTGGCTCGGCCATACGGTACCTTTGACTCCAGTCCAAAGTAAACTTTCAAGGAACTTGTCTGTGGCGCAATCAAACAATATAATGATCAATCAAAAGGAAAAAAAATTGAGATAACTTACAGACGTAAAAGTTTGAAAAAAATTACATTTTGAAACGAGAAGCATTGTTTCTTGGTTTTTTTCTTTGCGTTAGTGAAACGAGGTAACACATTTTTTGGTAATAACTGAAATGCATTTGATCGGAAGTGTTGCCGAATAACCTTGTCGAGCGCTTATCAAACGGGTGATTTTGAGGGCGTTGCTAACCAAAAGGTGGTTAATTACAAGTTACAAACACCAATGAATTAGGTCTCCAGAACACGCTTTAAATGATTGAAAATATTACCCGAAGAGGGTCTGTAGGAAGCATAGAGACACAACGATATTGATATAGAGTGTCGCAAATGTACTTAAGGAAAGCCTTTTCATCACTTCGTACTCCTCCTCGAAATAGATTGTTAAAAATCTGTTCTGAAACAAATTCAAGCCCTAACATCGTCAGACGCTCCTGCCATAGATGCAAGTATCAGTTCGTTATTCAGAGGAAAAACCTAGTTAAACTATCTATATGGGCGTTATCGAAGACGACAGGTGTTTAGCAAGCGACCACGGGACATTAGGCAACGGTTTAAACAGGTGGCCTTTGTAAAGGTAACGGAATCTCCTCTTCTAGCTTCTTGCGGGTAACAATATTATATAAAATCTGATTGTTGGAATGTTTATGGAAAAAAGTTTGAGGACCCATCAATTTTCATCTTTAAAAAATTGAAAAAGAACTTTCCCTGAACTGCGAAAAAGACATCGAACTTGGGTATTGAACGGAGAGTGTACTTAGGCCTAATTTTAGAGAAAAAAGAGAGAGCCTCTAATGGTGAAATAAACTATTAATGATCAGACGCCTGGTGCCTCCCGTTTGCGTGAGTTGTTTGAGCTAGTTTACCCCAACAGTCCAGTAGATTGTATATTTAAACATGCTGCATTTCTAAAAACCTTTAGCGTTTAAAATTCGGGGGAAATAAAGAATGATTTTTAATAACAGAGGCAAAACCGATTGAAACCGGTTTTTAGCTGTTTTTAAAGCCAGGTGCTTGAAATAATCGCCCTCATGATTTCCCTCGTAGTGAACAGCATTGCTAATAAAAATAAAGGTAACTCAAAGATCTCTTTCGCAATTAGAGTGTCGTTGTATACCGTGGCCAATATTTGGGTTTCACTGGAAGGTTCGTAAAGTGTTCCTTAACTCGCAAATAAAAACAGTAAATATGTAATTAATTGAAAGTGGAACCAAAAAGAGACAAATTGAAATGAGTAAAAAGCTGAATACGTTTCTATGGCAAGAATATTTACGCCTGAATTTTGCATTTTATCGGAGTTATTGCCGATTGTCTCAGTCGAGCGCTTATCGAAAGGGTGATTTTTAAGGCGTTACTAACCAAAAAGCGATTCGTTTCGAACAGTCAAAATACCAATATTAGTTTCCAATATTAGTTTCGAACCATCAAAATACTAATAAATTAGGTCTTCAGGACACGCATTAAATGATTAAAATATTACCCGAAGAGGGTCTGAAGGAAGCAAAGAGACAACGATATTAATCTTAAGTGTAGCAAAAGTACCAAAGGAAAGCCACTTTCATCACTTCGCAGTCCTCCTCGAAATGATTATTGAAAATCTGTTCTGAAACAAATGCAAGCCCTACCTTCATGAGACGCTTTTATCATCCTTTTTGCCATGGTCAATACTTTGGTTCCACTGGAAGGTTCGTAAAGTGTTCCTAAACTCGCAAATAAAAGTAGTAAATACATAATCGATCGAACGCGGCGCCAAAAAGAGACAAATTGAAATAAGACAATGGTTTAAGGTGATTCCACAAGGTTTTTGACCGCGTGAGGTTTGGGTGCAAATATAGCACGAGCTTTCAAAGTGTCAAAATGCAGACATGGTGACTCGATACGATCCCACAATTGCTATCTGAAAAGGTGTATTAAAAAAAGTTTAACACGCTACAATTTTTATGTGATGGAATCTAGGGTTTCCAGCAACTGCACCCGAAATATTCATAGGCCTTCTACGTCTGAAAGAGAGGTCAACCAAAAAGAAAACACCGGGAAAGATTGCCGAAAGGCAACAGAATCGAAAGTCTACGCATGTTCAGATACCGATCGTGGCGAAGTTCTATTCCATTACGTAATGCTTTGCGACAAAGGAGATAAGGATCTTTCGGGTAAGATTTATGGCTTTTCCTGCGGTGAAATTTCGTAAGATTTGCTGAACCGTTAAACATATTTGTGTTTCTCCTTGTGCCTGTTGATAAAAAATTGATAGGACCAAATTTTCGGTTAACAATATTTAAAAACATCTGATAATTGTAATATTTAAGAAAAAAAGTTTGATGGCCTCTGAATTCTCATCGTGGTTTAAGTAGAAAATTAACTTTTCTTGAGCTGCCCAGATTTCCTGAGGATGGAGGGTTAGTCAGAGAATGAGGGTAAGAGCGCAAAATTCACATATTACTCGAAAGAAAGCTTTGTGAGCGCGCAAAAGAAGAGAAAGAATTGATTGATAAATCAGTGAAGGTTTTTCTTTTCTTTTTTTTTTCATGCGTCTATACATAAACCGGAGTGACTATCATCACTTCGGTTCAAGGATTCACTTGGACTTGGACTGACGCTGTCCCTGTCTGGTTCAACTGAAGGTGATCGCTAACACCGGGAACAGGGTTCTGGAAGGTCGGGTAGGAACTTAGCATCACTGGATAGTGCAGTGGAGTCTGATTTTGAGCCAAGCCAACAACCATACAGGGGATCACCGGTGTTGTTAATTCCCTGCGGCCCCGTTTGGTTTCCTGCCGCTGTAGTAGGGATCTTCGTTTTTCCCGGCGTTCCTATAAACAAATAAACATAAATATTATTACTTAATCAACTTCGTAACTGACAGTCTGAAGGGCAAACTCATGAAAATAAAGAAATACTCACAGTGATGCACGAAACCCTGCCGTGTTACCTCGCGCTACAAGTAGGCGTCAAATTAGCCAAGCGCATCTGAGGTCACCGTCACCTAAAAACACTGCAGGCGATTTCCTATATTAGCTACGTTCTGCTTTATGATTGGCCAAGTCACCTCAAGGAGCAGATAAACCGTACTCATAAGTTCAGGACTTGTGAAGGGAATTTCTTTTGCTCTTTTTAAGGTATCCATGGAAATAACCCCAGGGCAGTTTCGGTCTAGAGAAAGCGGTTACGCACAAAAACGTCCTTATCCGTAGGCAAACGCTTTTTACCCATGGGTGAAAGGGCCAGTGTAACCATGTAAAATTAGATAATGATTTAAACAGGTGGCTTTCGTAAAGGTAACAAGATTTTCCCTTCTTCCTTCTAGCGGGTAACAATGTTTTATAAAATCTGATTATGGGAATATTTATGGAAAACTTTTTATGACCCATCAATTTTCATCTTAGTTTAAATTGAAAATTAATTGCCCCTGAACTGCAAGTTCGAAAAAGATACGAAACTATCGATCGCATGAACACATTAAAAAAGAAAGATTCTGCAAGCTATCGTTAAAATTTCCCAAAGAAGGTTTGAAGGAGTCGACACAGTGATTTGAATCATGCATGTATCGCGTACGTTCTAAGGGAAAGCCTGTTTCATCACTTTAAAGTTCTTCTGTAACGCAGTGGTGGTCTAATCTGTGCCGAACGCTCGACTGACCTGTTTTTTTTTTTAACTGGAACGAGGGAAAAACAGATTTTCAGCTTTTTCTGCCCACTTGAATTAATCGTTCAATCAGACTGGTGCTATAACATAAAGAATGAAATTCACGTTTTTTTCCTTCAAACAACACTGTTTACCGCAAATACTGTATTCACAACTTTATCTGTCTCAGTCACACCATTTTATGAATAAGGCTATCAAAATTCAAAAGATAAAAAACGAAACATTAAGGAATTTTTTATCATCTTGAAATGTTATTCGAAATTAATTTGACCTATTCTTACTGTAGTGTATTGCGTTACATTGCGTTACCACTTGAAGGACATTTGAAAAACCATGCGCCATTGAAAGCTCGAGCAAGAGTATTTAATGCAATCTACATAATAGTATTACATGTTACAATGTGGTAACTTACACAGTATAATTATATAATCACACAATTCCAAAAAAAAAAAGTCAGGTTATAAACTCAACCCTTTTCAACTTTTGAGGGCTTAAGGTACAGAGAAATAGATAGGGTAAACAGTTACAACTAATATAAAGTTGAAAGCTAAAAGATATACGTTACAATCATCAAACCCTATGCATCCTAGCAAAAATAGGGTCAATTAGCCCCACAACTTCTCCCAAACATTCATACTTACAGGAAATCCTTAATTTTGTCGCTAGGTGGGACTGTATTAACTCAATCGTGTGGTAAATCTACTTTCCTAAATTAGAGTAAAATAACTAATTACGAGCATTGTATGGTAAATGTACTATGTTGTACTATCACTGAATAAAAGACAGTTGAATTATAGCGTGAAATGAGATAAGTCACTTGACTTATGGATACTCTACACTAATCACTATTTGACTGTGCAGATGGATTATATATGTATACATATATATATATATATATAACTATAACATCAGGTTAGTGTAACTGAGATCAATAACCGACATATTACACTTACCACCACTAGCACTTTCTCTAAATTATCCCAAGAGTACTTTTTCTCTAATCTGTCATTTGTTTAGAGTTACGCCTTCTCCGAAAACCACATCGCGTCTCAGAGCCACAGGTCCAAATAGAACTGCCTCGTTTCAAGTTCACCAAAATATTAAGTGCGAGTGGAATCGTGAAGACAAGTCATCATCATCATCAGAGGTGTCTTGATCTTGCTCGCTTTCATATGTAAAGAGCACTTTATTTAGCATATCTTCTGTGTCTTCGTCTCTTTCCGTTATTCTATCTACATCCGAGGAAGCCATAGACTCAAGGTCAACTCCAATTTCACGCCACGAGTTTGCATTCATAGCTTGTAAGGTTATACCTGCTTCCCTTAGGTTTCGGAGGCCATGTTGATTTTTTTCTTCACGTATACGATATAAGAATGAAAACTGGATGATGAGATTTCTGATATTTCTGTGATTTTCATAAAAATCTCGTAATTTATTTGCACACTTACTACAGGGTGAGTAGTTTAAAGTCAGAGTGATTTCAATATCATGATGAACAGCTACTGCGTCACCAAAGTCATCATCGCAAAGCATTACTGCTTCTGCATCTTTCATAGAAGGTATGTTTACGAAGCGCTTATTGAAAATGCCTTCTCCATAACTGGATTTTATAGAAGCGATGAGGTAGGTGCGATTTGGCCATTTTGTACCTTTGACTCCAGTCCAAAGTAAGTCATCCAAGAAATGGTCTAGAAAACAAAACAAAAAATAAAAAACGAAAATATAATGATTATCAGCACGTAGAAATAGGGATATATTCTCAAATCAAATTCGAAAAAAACCACAAGGCCAGAAAGGAAACTATGCAAATAAAACACGCAATAAACTCTTTGCAACATTCTTGTACCAAGTAAAACGAGCCGTTTAATTCTGGAGTAAATTAAATCATATGGTATTTGAAATACATTTTTTAGAATTTTATTCATCAGCATTTAGTCATTAGAAGAGGTTTCGCTACAGTGTCAGATTTCAGAGTACGACTGTGAGATGTACTTTACTCCGACCTCGAATGATCTAAAAGAAAGTTAAGTTTGCCGTGTCTCGACTCTTCTAAGATGAACCGGCTGCAACATGAACGCTCGTCTGACTATGATTGCCCAGCGGGTTTTGGCGAAGAGGGCAATTAAATCTTAACTATGAGGAATTATGGATATTTTGAAATAAACTATTGGAGGAAGTTTTAGAGTTTTTCAAGACATGGATCCTTTTCCCGCAAACAAAAATATAAATGTCAATTCTGAGCTCATTTCTGTTCTTTAGGTAGAAAAAAAAACTGCATGTTATAAGATATGTTATGAACTACTAAAATTAGAAGTGTTTGGGAATTGTTTAGGCCTGTTTGATTGTCCCGAAATCCTTATGCGAGTCTTGTGAGCCTTAGTTGGTTATTAAATCCACTCATTTATTTTTATCCTCTGAATGATATGTGTCCTTGATTGTTGTAGTAGGGCTTACTGCTCGTACGATGATCGTCATTGCTGGTCGTAATTGGATTTGTCCTTGACCTTGCTTAGAGGTGGTTTTTCAAGTACTCTGTTGTTCATTTTGAATGTCTTGGGGTATTTAAGAGCTAGTTCTTAGCGCTAAATTTTTAGAGAATACCTTGGACAGAGCCTCCGATAGGGAAATAAACTATTTCTGATCAGACGCCTGGTGCCCCCCGTTTGCGCGTGTCGTTTGAGCTAGTTTACCCCAACACTCCAATAGACTGCGTATTAAAATATGTTGCATCTCCAAAAACGTTTAACGTTCAAATTCGGGGGAAATAAAGGGAAAAACCGATTGAAACCGGTTTTAGCTATTTTAAAGACGCGTATTTGAAATAAAGGCTTATGAGATTTTCCTAGTGGCAAACCGTATTGTTAATAAAAAAAGGAATACTCAAACATTTCTTTCGCAATTTGAGTGTCGTTGTATAAGATGGTCAATATTTGGATTTCACTGGAAGGTTCCTAAAGTGTTCCTTAACTCGCAAATAAAAATAATAAATACATAATCGATCGAAAGTGGCGCCAAAAAGACACAAATTGAAATAAGTAAAAAGCTGAATACGTTTCTAAGGCAAGAATATTCACGCTTGGTCCCGTTTGTTCAAAGGATGGATAAATTTATTCACTGGATGAGCTTATGCAGTGTATAAGATGGCTATCCACTGGATAGTTATCCAGCGGATAAAAAGTTGTTGCAGAAGGCATGGGTAGCGAGGCGTATAACTATCGGATGGATAACTCGCTGTCCAGGTAGTTGCCTAGATGATAACCCAAGCGTTGCGTGATCTTTTCGCATATACCCGACAAAGGGCGCCAGAAAACCAAACTTTACACCTGCCGAATGTGCAGTTATTTTCGAATTTTCCACGACACTTTCAAACGAAAACAAAAGTAGACATGTGACCTCTATGCTTCACATTACTTATGCAGTTTTTCGAATGAAGAAATTGAATTTGCTCCACGTACCTTGGACGGGCGGAGGGGAATCACTTTCATCACCCGATGTAGAGCTCTGGAAAGAAAAGATAGATTTGAAATATAAATCACTTCTTTCTAAGAAAGTTACGTTTTGCGTGTGTGCGTGCGTGCGAGTGTGTGTGGGTGACTTTGTGTACGCGCGTATATTCGTGTTTCGTGCGTGTCTGCGTGTGTACGTGTTTCTGTGGCCATGATATTGAACCTAAGACAAAAGAAAATAGAGATAAACTGGTCTGAAAAATTTATAGCCAACAAAATGTGAACAACACGACATAAGTAATTCTTTTGAGAAATCCATTTGCGACTTCGTCGCACGGAAATTTTCATGATCCACACCAGTTTAAATTTCCCTCTTTAAGCATTAATGCTGTCCTAAATTTGACCCTTGAAACTAATGAGCAGGATTATAGAATAGTAAGATAAAAACCATACCCAAAAACTTTCGAAACAAGGCTGATCTCGGAGGCCGAAGAATCTGTCGTCGTCCTTTTTGTCTGGCTCGTCTCTAATTCTCCAAGTATCTGTGGCGTAAGAAACGGTAAAACATAAGTTCCCCTGATTAACTCGAGATATCCTTTTGATCCAAATTATCTGTTAATCAATCATCTGGATGAACTTTACACCTGCCGAATGTGTAGTTATTTTTTAATTTTCCGCGACACTTTCAAACAAAAGCAAAAGTCGAGTATAGAAGGTAATAACTGACAAAGTCAATGCCCTCGGAGTTGCAAATAGAACTACCATGGAGGTGAAGGAAAAGTGGAGAGGAATGGTGAGTGGAGCAAAGAAAGAACACAGCAAATGTGCCATTGCAGGAAAGAAGACCGGGGGTAGAAAGAAACCAGATTCCCCGAGGGCTACCAACTTTTTGTGCACTGGATAACCGTTTATAACAAAGTTCGGATATGATGCGCGCTGTCATTGGGTGAAAGAGCATGCTCTGCGAGAGTGCAGAGCATACAGATGAGCTAAAGTTGTCGCGACATCTGCCAAATTGTACTATGTCCGACCTTTTCCTGGAATTTTCCCAAGTTTTTTTTCTTTAATTGAAAGAAAAATTTCGGAACAGGCGAGTCAGCAAATAGCAACAGAAGAACCAAACAAAGGTTTGTAAACATGCTAGGCGCCGTAATTGACGTTCATATAACGTGAGCAGAGAGGAAATGTTCAAGGAGAAAACGAAATGGAGAGTCCGAGTTTTGAGGATTTTCCATGGTGATAACCCAGGCGTTGCGTGACCTTTTCGCTTGCACGTACTAGTGGCGAGCCAATATGGTAGAAAATGTTGCTCTTTCCCTGGCAATGGCGCCAGAAAACCAAACTTTACACCTGCCGAATGTGCAGTTATTTTCGAATTTTCCACGACACTTTCAAACAAAAACAAAAGTCGAAATGTGACCTCTATGTTTCAAATTACTTATGTAGTTTTTCGAATGCAGTTACTGAATTTGCTTCACGTACCTTGGAAACGAAACTCCTTGCTGGTCCTATCAGGGAAGGTCAGAGGGAAATCGTTTTCATCGCTCGATGAAGAGCTCTGGAAAGAAAACAAGCCTATATTCGAGCTTCGCGCATGTCTGCGTGTGTAAGTGTGTCCGTGGCAGCGATGTTGAATCTAAGACAAAAGAATTAGAGATAAACTGGTCTGAAAAAGTTTATAACCAACAAAATGTGAACAACACTACACAAGTAATTATTTTGAGTAATCAATTTGTGACTTCGTCGCACGGAAATTATCATGATCGACACCAGTTTAAATTTCCCTCTTTATGAATTACTGCTGTCCTAAATTTGATCATGGATACTAATAAGCAAAATGGTAAAATAATAAGATATGAACCATACCTGTAAACTTTCCAAAGGATTCTGATCTCCATCGTCCTCTTTGTCTGGCTTGTATCTATTTTTCCGGGTACCTGTGTAGTCTGAGAGCCAATAAAAAATGGCTGAGTTCGTTATATACATGGGTTTCGAACCCAATGAAAACACATGAAAACCACACGTGTTTTGGATCACATATCAAAAATACAAGAACATGATTAATCAGCTACACCGCCAGTTCATTTTTTTCCGTTGACAAAATTGTTTACATCACAATTCGTGAACGAAGAAGTATTCAAACATAAAAACCTTAGCCAGTGGTTTAAAGTGCTGGCGTCCATATTTTCAAAATCTGTTCTCAACAACTGAACTGTGTACAAATCTCCATAATCTTTAAAAACACTACCAGCATCAAGTACCGAGAACTTAAGCTTTTCTATTTATCTTCCATTCGTGAAAAATCTAATCGCTATTTGGTTTTGTGGTTAGCTGACTCAGGAATACTCCCTTGCAACAACTTTGATTCTTCTTCCCCAGTTTTTGGAAAACGAAAACAGCATGTTTACAAAGGTTTGTAAACATGTCCGGTGCCGTAATTGACGTTCATATAACGTGCGCAGAGAGGAAAATCCTCAAAAAGAAAACGAAATGAAGAGTCCAAGTTTTGAGGATTTCCATGATGATAACCCAAGCATTGCGTGACCTTTTTGCTTGCGCGTGCTACTGGCGAGCCAACATGGCAGAAAATGTTGTTACTTCCCCGGTCAATGGCGCCAGAAAACCAAACTATTTTCGAATTTTCCAAGACACTTTCTAACAAAAACAAATGTCGACATGTGGCCTACATGCTTCAAATTACTTATGTAGTTTGTCGAATGCAGTTACTGAATTTGCTTCACGTACCTTGGAAACGAAACGCCCTACTGGTCTTTTCAGGGAAGGTCAGAGGGGAATCGCTTTCATCGCTTGATGTAGAGCTCTGGAAAAAAAACACAGATTTCAGATATATATCACTCCTTTGTAAGAAAGTTACGGTCTGCGAATTCCTATTTATAGCTTGCGTGCGAGCGTGAGAGCGTGTGTGGGTGACTTTGGGTGTGCGCGGATATTCGTGTTTCGTGCGTGTCTACGTGTGTACGTGTGTGCCTGGCTATGATGTTAAATCTAAGAAAATAGAAATGAACTGGTCTGAAAAAATTAATGACCAACAAAATTTGAACAACGCTACATAAGTAATCTTATTGAAAAATCCATTTGCGACTTCGTTGCACGGAAATTTTCATGATCCACACCAGTTTAAATTTCTTTCTTTAAGAATAACTGCAGTCCCAAATTTGACCATGGATACTAATAAGCAAAATGATAAAATTATAAGATATAAACCATACCTGTAAAGTTTCGAAATGAGTCTGATCTCGAAGGTGGTCTGGTTTGTGTCTATTTTTCCGGGCACCTGTGGTGTAAAGATAGTTCTAAAACTCATTAATAATTCATAAGTCTGAGAGCTAATATAAAAATGGCTAAATTTGTCATATGCATGAGTTTTGAACCAAATGAAAACACATGAAAACCACACGTGTATTGGATCACATATCAAAACCACGCGTGGTTTTCATCATTTAAAGCACTGAAACAATACCCCTACTTACTAAAAAAGTTAGGAATAGTTTTGACGTGTTTGACCTGACTTGGTCACGGCCTCGTGCTTTAATCTGTTTCTCGGTGTCTGGACACAAACACTCGCACTCGTTTCTATATATTGCGTAAAACATAAGCTCCATTGATTGACTAAAGATATCCTTTTGATCTAAATTATCTGTTTATAATGGCCACATTCCCACGACAGTAAAAGGTAGGAACAACATTACAAGATATTGAATCGTTTTGGATATCTAAGGACATTTACCATTTTAGTCAGAACCAATGGATGACCGACAGGGTTTTGTCTTTTTTTTTTAGTTTTAATTTTATTTCACTATATTTTTCCTGAGATCACCTAACTCTAAGAAAGAAACGGACCTTTTGGGCACGTTATGAGATATGTTATGAACTACTAAAAATTAGAAGTGTCTGGGAACTAAAAAAATTAGGAATATTCTGGCTAAGTGTGTGGGAATTGTTTAAGCCTGTCTGATTATCTTGAAATCCTTATGCGACTCTTGTGAGCCTTAGTTGGCTCTTAAATTCACACACCTATTATCACCCTTTGAGTGATATGTGTCCTTGACTGTTGTAGCAGGGCTTACTGCTCGTACGATGATCGTCATTGCTGGTCGTATTTGGATTTGTCCTTGACCTTGCTTAGAGTCCTCAACGGCAAGTTTTGTTTAGGGCTTAAATCTCGAAGATCGGTTGTTTTTCAAGTACTTTTTTGTTGATTTCGAATGTCTTGGGGGTGGCTTTGTAAGCGTTCTAAAAATATGTGTACTCAACCACTGCTGTCCCGTGAGCCCAAACATGCCTACCGATAGGGTATTTAAGAGCGAGTTCTTAGGGCTGAACTTTAGAGAAGAACTTGGACAGAGTAGCCGAAATTGAAATCAACTATTTCTGATCAGACGCCCGGTGTCCCCCCCCCCCCCCGTTTGGGCGTGTCTTTTGGCTAGTTTTCCCAACACTCCAATAGATTGTATATTCAAAAATGTTGCATTTCCAAAAACGTTTCACGTAGAAATACGGGGGAAATATAGAATAATTTTTAGTAACAAGGGAAAGACCGATTGAAACCGGTTTTAAATGTTTTAAAGCCACCTGTTTGAAATAATCGCCCTTGCGATTTCCTTGCTGGAAAACCGCACTGCTGATAGAAAAAATGATTACTCAAACATTTCTTTCGCAATTAAGAGTGTCGTTGTATACTATGGTCAATATTTGGGTTCCACTGAAAGGTTCATAAAGTGTTCTTAAACTCGCAAATATAAATAAAAAATACATATAATTAATCAACGAGGCGCCAAAAAAGACAAATTGAAATAAATAAACAGCTAAACACGTTTCTAAGGCAAGAATATTTACACCTGGCCCCGTTTGTACAAAGGATGGATAAATTTATCCACTTTATAAGGTTATCTGGTATATAAGATGGCTATCCACTGAATAGTTATCCAGCGGATAAAAAGTTGTTGCAGAAAGCACGGATAGCGAGGCGTATAACTATCGGAGGGATAGCTCGCTGTTCAGGTAGTTGCCATGATGATAACCCAGGCGTTGCGTGATATTTTCGCTTGCTCGTGCTTCAAATTACTTATGTAGTTTGTCGAATGCAGTTACTGAATTTGCTTCACGTACCTTGGAAACGAAACGCCCTAGTGGTCTTTTCAGTGAAGGTCAGAGGGGAATCGCTTTCATCGCTTGATGTAGAGTTCTGGAAAGAAAACACAGATTTCAGATATATATCACTTCTTTCTAAGAAAGCTACGGTCTGCGAATTCCTTTTCTTTTAGCTTGCGTGCGCGCGTGCGAGCGTTAATGGGTGACTTTGGGTGTGCGCGGATATTCGTGTTTCGTGCGTGTGTGCGTGTGTGCCTGGCAATCATATTAAATCTAAGACAATAGAGATAAAAAATAGAGATGAACTGGTCTGAAAAAATTAATGACCAACAAAATTTGAACAACGCTACATAAGTAATCCTATTGAAAAATCCATTTGTGACTTCGTCGCACGGAAATTTTCATGATCCACACCAGTTTAAATTTCTCTTTTTAAGAATAACTGCTGTCCTAAATTTGACCATGGATACTAATAAGCAAAATGACAAAATTATAAGATATAAACCATACCTGTAAAGTTTCGAAATGAGTCTGATCTCGAAGGTGGTCTGGTTTGAGTCTATTTTTCCGGGTAACTGTGGTGTAAAGATAGTTCTAAAACTCATTAATAATTCACAAGTTTGAGAGCCAATATAAAAATGGCTAAATTTGTCATATGCATGAGTTTTGTACCCAATGGAAACACATGAAAACCACACGTGTTTTGGATCACATATCAAAACGTATAACGTATAACTATCGGATGGATAACTCGCTGTTCAGGTAGTTTACCATGGTGATAACCCAGGCGTTACGAAATATTTTCGCTTCCACGTGCTAGTAGTGAGCCAACACGGCAGAAAATGGTTGCTCATTCCCCGGCAAAGCGCGCCAGAAAGCCAAACTTTACACCTGCCGAATGTGCAGTAATTTTCGAATTTTCCACGACACTTTCAAATAAAAACAAAAGACGACATGTGACCTACATTCTCGAATTACTTATGTAGTTTTTCGAATACAGTTGCTGAATTTGCTTCACACACCTTGGAAGCGAGACGCCTTACTGGTCTTTTCAGGGAAGGTTAGAGGGGAATCGCTTTCATCACTCGATGTATCGCTCTGGAAAGAAACCGCGCGTATATTCGTGCTTCGTGTGTGTCTGCGTGTGTACTTGTGTCCGTAGCTGTCACGTTGAATCTAAGACAAAAGAAAATAGAGACAAACTGGTCTGAAAAAGCTAATAACCAACAAAATGTGAACAACACTACATAAGTAATTCTTTTGAGAAATCCATTTGTGACCTTGTCAGTTGGAAATTTTCACGATCCACACCAGTTTAAATTTCCCTCTTTAACAATTACTTCTGTCCAAATTTTGGCCATTGAAACTAATGAGCATAATAATAAAATAATAAGATAAAAACCATACCCGAAAACTTTCGAAACAGGGCTGATCTCGGAGGCCGAAGAATCTGTCGTCGTCCTTTTTGTCTGGCTCGTCTCTAATTCTCCAAGTATCTGTGGCGTAAGAATCGGTAAAACATAAGTTCCCCTGATTAACTCGAGATATCCTTTTGATCCAAATTATCTGTTAATTAATTATTTGGGTGAGTTTGTGGGCGCGCGCGTATATTCGTGCTTCGTGCGTGTCTCTGTGTGTACATGCGTCCGTGGCTATGAGATACGAAGAAGTGTATGGAGAAACACGAGACGTAATCGAGTGTTTCTCTTCACTACTTTCGTGCTTTAGCCGCTTCCTGCGTCCTTTACAACAGAACAGAACACAGTCAAGGCTTCTCTATTTGTTTTATAATAAAGAATCCGTTAAATTCCCCCGCGCATTACTTTCACTTTTCAAAATAAATTTTAATTCCAAAGCGAACAACAGTGTCATCAGCATGCTCTATACTCTCACTACGCTACAATAAGCCAATCAGAGTCTTTGTTATAATAGTTCAAATAATCTGATTGGCTGTACTAGACCAACGCTGTCAAAAATGTCAAACCATCAAAGTTCACATTTCTGCAATTGTTTACAAACTTAAAAATGGTTGGGAAGGTCAAATCTAACACTTTTGCCTGAAGTTTTTTAGTCTCTAATACAGAATGTGGAGGTGAAATGTTCGCAGTGGCCCAACGGTCTGTGGTCCGAACTCCCAATCCCAAAGTCCGGACATAAGCACCGACCAGTGAAATTACGAAGTTCATATGACACGCATCCTGCATACTGCTAGGATCAGCAATGTCGATAGCTTAATATTTGTAGATAGAAATAAGAGAGATGGTAAGTTTTTGAGCTCGGTATAGAAATAAAGAAAGAACATCCGACGAAAACATCTTTCTCTATTTCTTTACCGAGCTAAAAAATTACTATCTCTCTTATTTCTATCTACAAACATTACGCTTTCGAAACTGCTGATCCTAGCAGTATTCATATGATGCGTGTCATATGAACTTCATAATAAATCTCAGTCTGATGGTCTCATGGGACTCGGAATTTTTACTTCGTCCCACGCTCGTGACTAGACCAACACATCTTTCAGCCACAGTCTCACTGCCAGCCATTTTAAAGTCAAACTGAATTATGAAGTACAAAATTTTATCGTATGGACAACATACTGTCATGCGACAGTCATATGATTTGAAAACAATGGCAATTGATGACTCGTGTGCTCGGGAAAGTCCCTTGCATTACATCGTCAACTTCCTGTTTTTCAATAACACCATCGGATGGTCAGTGTATGTAATTTCTTTAAAACAAAACCGTCTTTTATTACTGGGAATTATTTCTTTTTAATAACATGTTGTTCACCAAAAAATGTAAAATGATATGCTCGAAATAATTGGGAATACTTTTGATTCGAAATGGTCTGGAACCGCTGTATACTATACTTCAGATCAGCGTGTTGCGCGTGTTGTTTGAGCTAGTTTACCCCAACAATTAAAAAATTTTGCATTTCCAGAAACGTGTGGCGTTTAAAATTCGGGGGAAATAAAAAATAACTTTTAATAACAAGACCAAAACCAAATTAAACCGGTTTTAGCTGTTTAAAGCTGCATGCTTGAAATAATCATCTCGTGATTTCCTCGCTGGCAAACCGCATTGCTGACAAAAAAATATTAGTCCAACATTTCTTTCGCAATTAGTGTCGTTGTATACAATCGTTAATATTTGAGTTCCTCTGGAAGGTTTGTATTGTCTTCCAAAACTCGCAGATGAAAGTAATGAATACAGAATCGATCGAATTCTTCGAGCGCATATCGAACGGGCTTTTCTAAGACATTGCTAACCAAAAGGTGATTCATACCAATTTTCGAGCCGTGAAAATACCAATGAGTTAGGTCTTCAGGACACGCATTAGTACTTAGGAAAGCCTCTTTCATCACTTTGCATCCCCCCTCCAAATAGATTGTTGAACATCTGTTCTGAAACAAATACAAGCCTTACCTTCGTCAGACGCTCCTGCCATCGATGCAAGTCAGTTTGTTGATCAGAGAAGAAAACCCGGTTAAACTATCAATATAGGGTATTATCAATGACGAAAGATGTTTAGCAAGCCACCACATAACATCAGACAATGGTTTGGTGTGGTTCTTATGGGTAAAGATATTTATAAAATCTGATTATTGGAATATTTATGCAAAAAATTTTGATGAGTCATCAATTTTCATCTTGGTTTGAATTTAAAATTAACTCCCGCTGTGCTACAGTAAAACATATGAGACTATTTCATGAGCAGAATAAATTTGACCTTCGAAACGTTCTGCAAGCTATCGTTCGATATTTAGAGAAAAAAACGCAGTTAAACTATCAACTTAGAGTATTACAGAAGATCACAGATTTTTAGACAGCAACCACGTGACATTAGGCGATGGGTTTAAACAGGTGGCATTCGTAAAGGCAACGGGATTTCCCCTTCGTGTTTATTGGAATGTTTATGGAAAAAATTTGATGAGTCATCACTTTTCATCTGGGACATTAGGCGATGGGTTTAAACAGGTGGCATTCGTAAAGGCAACGGGATTTCCCCTTCGTGCTTATTGGAATATTTATGGAAAAAAATTTGATGAGTCATCAATTTTCATCTCGGTTTAAATTGAAAATTAACTTCCTCTGAGCTACGAAAAAGATATAGACCATTTACATGAGCGGAATAAATTTGGCTTTCGAAAAACTCTGCAAGCTATCGTTAACACGGTTTGAAGACGGTTTCGTCACTTTGAAGTTCTTCTGTAACGCAGTGGTGGTCTAATTTGACCAATTCATACGACAATTCTATTGGAAAGAACCATTTTAATCGTAGTGTCCTCCCGTCAAAAATATTCTTATGTTGATACCTAGTGTCAACAAAAGCTCAACTTGCGCTTGCACTGCTTAAAAATGTTCCTAAAGCTAACTGAAGTTCTTTCAGCACCAGTTTCATAGATACAGGATCTTCCGTATTGTTTTTCTTCCCGGCTTTCACTGCGTGTATGACGTCACTGGTCATATCTTTGATGTCTTTCAACTCGCTTGTGCAGACTTTGATCTTTTGTTCCTTTTCTTTGTCTCTAGTTCCTGAGGAAGAAAAAAGAGATGATATGATCATCCATCACAGGTTGACCCCACTACCTCCTCCCTCAGCATTTCTATGTAGTGCGGTAAATATTTATACTCATAGTGAAAGGAGGTTTTGTGAGGGCAGCGTGCGTGCTTACCCTTAAAATACAAATCAATAACTGGTCGGTGCTTATATCCGGACTTTGGGATCGGAAGTTCGGACCACAGACCGTTGGGCCACTGCGAACATTATTTCAGAGCTTGAAAGCTCTGTTAATGTTAATACAGTTGGCTTTTTCTTCCGGCTCTCGAAATAAACAAGTCAACTCTCGATTCTCAATAAAGTGAAATCATTGAGCTCAATACTTTCTTTATTCTGCAAGCATGTTCGGTCAAGATGGCTGCATAATACCTTCTTTTTTCCCCATTTTTATGTACCTCGATTTCGCTTCCGTCCATAAAAGCGCAAGAAAATAATTCGGCCAATATCCAGCCATCTCGACGTCATGTTTGGTCAATAACATATATTTTAACCTCTACCTCCACTGACGTTCTTTTTTCACTACACTTTTATCATTTTTTTTTTTTCAATCATTTCCCTCACCCTTTGATGTCCGTCGAACCACCACCGCGACTTTCTTCAATACAACATGGACAACACTACATGCCATTTCCACGTGGCTGAGAAGAGGAGGAAACGAAATGATTAAAAGAACGGATAGGAATAACAAATAGACACGCCTAAAAACCTTTCCGGACTAAACACTAACTGAGAAATAATGTCGGTGACTTATCTCTCTTCACTTGGCACAAAATTTTGGTGACGGAGATTTTCATCGATTCTTAGCAAATTACGTTGAAACTTTGTCGAAGAATTTGAAAAATTTGCTCCAAATTTTTATCTTTTGTGTTTGTAACTTGTTCAGTAGATATCAATGCAGAGTATGTGTATTTTACCAAATAGGAGCATAAGTTTTTATTAAATCGAAATCAAATTCTATATCATGGCAATACTTTTCAAATTTTTTTCCTCGAGTAAAGGATCCGGAATTTGACAGATTCAATCCTTCGTATATCCTCTTCATGCTGTTCCTCTCACTGACACAATAAATGCGCCTCGCGATAAGCAAAACCTAAATTGATATTATGAAACCAGAGGATTCAAAACTCAATGAAAGCGGACAAATTAAACTTTATTTCATGTCCAGACTTACTCCCGCTTGCTCTCTTTTTTAACAATCGGATTAAAATACAATTCATTCGGATATAATAAAAGAATCCAGCGAACGGGAATGAAAACAAAATAATAGCTAAAATCAAGTAAAGAATCCAATTTATATCGTACCTTGAATGATGTTGAGTGGAAATAAATCCCTTTAGCTTTGGAAGGACGAGCTCACAGAGATCAAGAGTCCACATGGCGCTGCGCACAAGTTCAACAAAGAACAACAATGATAACAATAAAATAATAATAATGACATTAATTTTAAGAATAATAATTACAATAAGGATAACAAATATAAAGTGATAACAATGATAATAGCGATAATAATTAGGGCTTTTAAATGCAAATGCCTAGAATGTTGGCATCTGAAGGAAACTTAGAACCAGATTTCCTGAAGATGCAAGGTCAGTCAGAGTAAGAGGGTAAATGCGCAAAATTCACACATTGCTTGACAGGAAGCTCTGTAAGCGCGCAACAAAAGTGGAAGAATTGATCGATAAATTAGTGAAGTTAAAAAGGGGATTTTTTTCCCAGACCAGGAAAAGTCCCTCCTTCCCACTTTAGTCCGTCATGCGTCAATTTGCCGTTGCCGCGCGAATTTTGGTGGGGAGATATACTCGACTAAACTTGTTCGCAAATATTTTTCCTAAGTCGCGTGGGTAATTTCTGTCTTTTTTTTCCCATGTGCTTATACATGACCTTACATGCTAATGCTATGGGTTGGGATGAGATGCCAAGCGCTCGTATACATTATCTTGTCAACATGGGGATACTTTCTCTCTACAATCAAAGGAAATTCATTTTTCTCACCAGCTGCTCGGTAACTGTTGCAGAATATTTAGAAACAATGCATAATCACGTGACATGAGCGTATAGGGAGTGCTCGGCTTTGGTGCGGCGCCCAGACTCTTCTCAAAGTCCACCATTCCTGTCAACTCGATACAAGCTTTCATGGCATCCATGGGTTTTCCGCCATTCCACAACTCATGGACGTGAAGTATTGTCTGCACAAAATGAAAAGTAGAAAAATAGTTTTTTAGGGACTCGTCACAATTTATCGCCGGGGGGGGGGAGGGGGAAGGTTTGAAAGATTTTTTTGGAGGATCACATGATTTTCAGGGGCAATGGAGGCAACGAAGTGTCAAGGGTATGGGGGGGGGGAGGGGGTACAGGCCATAGAAAGTTGATTTCCAGGGGGGGATCATGAAAATATTGCAGAGCCTTAATAGCCAAGTCTTACCCAGGTCCTTTGGGCGAGTGAGTCGTAAACGTCTCCATGATGGCTCAGAATGCTTTCAATAAATACATCATCCTGTAAAGAGAAGATACAAGACATGCCCACGGTCACTTACTTTAGCCACTATAACAATCTCGTCCCAGAGCCCGCTCTCCTTTTTGTCAAGAACGGGATCGCTTATAACGCGCATGACAAACGGAACCATTGGGGACGAAGTTACTCCGACAATCGTCTATTTAGGTTCAAGTGCGCATGCAAAGAAACAAAGAGACTTGTATGTTCAGTCAGTTAAGGATTAGGGATATGCGCACCTTTTATCGTTGTGGTCACATAAACAAAAACAAAACAAAAGATATTACCAAACCATTTTTTAGGAAACGAATGACGATCCCAACTTTTCTCAATAAAGTGAGTAGGTTCAAAGGACCAAAGCAATCAACCGTTAAAAAATAATTTAGTTAAAAGTCGTTGCTCAATTCCTGTTAATAGTTGGTTATTTTCTTCGTCATCATCATTATCACCGTTGTCTCAAATTTTTATCATCCTCGTCATCATCGTTACTGTTACCCGTCAGCATTTTCAGATACTTCTACAAACAGACAGGCCGCATCATTTCCAACAAATACTCCGAATACAATGAATACTTTAGAATCAGAATTGAAATCGAATATCTCACTTGCCTCGGTTACATCTGGACACGAAGGTGATCGAACAAACTTTGGTGGGGTGTTACCTGGCCAGCCAGATGGATTCAAATTACTTGTCACCTGCATATCGTCGTCACCAGGCTGTGTATAGTTCCACTGTTTCCTCTCAGAGGCTTGAGACTCCGATACAGTCCTTTTATAAAAGGGTCTTCTTCGACCGAAGCTGGGTTCAGGTTGGTTACCAGTCCTTTGCATCCTGGTGGCTAATTTTCCTTGTCCTGTTTTTCCAGGTAGCAGTTCTTCCCCTTCCTTTGTGGGCGTAGAAGAAATTCCTAGTGCTTCAAGAGAATAATTGCCATCTTCTTTACCTGCTTGTGGAGGGAACCCGTAATTCTCGTCAGCTAATTTACCGCTCTCCATATTTTCAAATGCATAGTGAACTTTTGCCTCGTTCTCGATTTCGCATGGTGGAATTGGTTCGCCTCTTTCTCGTGTGCACTGTGTATGAAACTCTACCGACTCACTAGAGGAACTTGGGGAATTCTCTGAGAGGCTGTCATCGCTTGACGACGCTAAGTTTATAATTTCACGCTCAAAATCTCCAGTTTGACAATCGTTTATAATGTCTCCGTCATTACTGCGTAAATGTTCCGAAGATGTGCCAAGTTCTGCGCCATTCACTGCTATGTCCTTCACTGTTGTCCGTGCCTCAGAGAAATCATGGCCTTCAGCGAGAGCTTGAGAATATTTCCATACCTTACTGAAGCTGGGGTGGTCTTCAACCTCTAAACTACACTTTTCTTCACAGCGTACGTTTTGTTCATGACGCTTCAAATTTTCTAATTCAGAAATTCTGTTCTTAGCCAGGGTAAGCACGTTCTCGACATAAACCTTTGCAAATTCCCGGCAGCTTTCCTTCGTTTTCCTTGTAAGTGCTAATTCACAAATTTTGCCAACGTATTGAGCTGCAAATTGTTCCAGATCACGTTTCGTCTGCTCACTCAGGTTATGCTCTACAATCATTGTAGGACTTGCAGTGTTTTTGGATCGAGCGTCTTGTTTCAAATTTTGCACGCGTTGCAGACCTCTCTCGCTCAAGTGCCATTTACCAGTGCCCAGTTTCCGTGATCGCTTGATTCCAAAGCAGCTCGTGGTATTGCGCTTCACAATTTTATTCCTTTCTTTTGTTGCAAAGGAAGTGGTGAGGTTGTCGTAGGAAGTCTCAACCACCGCCTTTTCGGTCTTTCCTAATTTTCCTTCATCAAGATAATTCAATGATACATTTTCATCAGAAATGTTCTTCAGTTTTGCTATTGAAGGGTTCTTGTCTTCTTCAAGGATGTCGTCGTTAGATTCAACTTTTTCTATTCGTGTCAGATTTGCACATGTGACTGAGGGTGTGGCCAAAATGCCCGCCGTGTGGTTCTCGTGCAGACTGGTACTATCGAGTTTGATGCTAGAGCCGACGACAGATGTTTGAGGATAACTCTCTGTATCTGAAGAAATAATAATAGTAAAAAACCCTAATATTTCAGCTAAAAGATGTAAAAATCAAACCAACATACACTTATTTAGAATAAGACTTCGTGTCATCTAATTCGGTCTGTAGTCATACTCGTGATAAACAAATTGGACTTCCGCTGCGCAGTCGTCCGATTTTGTTATCACCCGTATGATTACAGAATTGGACTCCACTCAGTCCTAGTACCATTATTAATTTGAAACAAATGAATTATAACAACGACGCATTTTTCATACCTCGCGTGCATCTTTTCTTGTTCTCTTCTTTCCTGAAAAGGAAAATTTTAATCAAAAAGCTTTCCTCTTCAAATCGATACAGATTAAAAGCAAAACCTTGTTTTGGTCACATCTCTTGTTTTGTCTTGTTTTGTTTGTTGTTTTTTTTCCCAAAAAAATATTCATCTTGATATAATGGTTCAATTATCTTCTTCGACGTAGTTAGCGTCTTGCATAGGCACAATATGAAAGTAGCAAAAACTGACACATTAAAAGTGGATTGTGCAATAACCAAGAAAGTCATAATGTTTTTTGTCAGAGACTGTTAAAGAAGCACTCACAGTACCTTTTCTTTGACTTTCCTGGCCATATGCAGCCTAAAAAATTTCCACCATTGCTCTTGTCTTTATCTTTGATTTTTTTAATTCTCTTTAAACTTATCAGTTTTACAGTCTTTGGCAGGACTTGCTCTTTTAGAAAAGAAAGTAGTTCTTTGCACTTGTTGACGTCCTCCCTTCGCCCATTGTTAAGGTTTACATGAAGTGTAGCGAGAACCGGCTCGGGTGTCTTGATAAACTGTCGACATGTCTCACGAACTTTCAGGTTAAGCTGCAATCCACTGTTTTCGACTTGATTCGCAACCTGTAAGAAAACAGGGAATAAGCTTACCCACCAGCACGTTAGGCATGGTTGGTCTGGGTTTGAGCTCAGGTGGTGTCCCTCTCCACGACCGAAATGGGTACAGACCATATGTCAGGGGAACTCAATAGAATGCCGAGGAAAACGAGCTGCAAAGTTATTAACTTGCGAAACAGTTTTGAAACAAAATTAGCAATATAGTGTAAGAACATCCTAAGAATTAGATGTGACCATTACATATATTGTTATTCGTCTTCTGACAAAATACCAATTGTTTTTTAAATGCTCTACGGCTAAGTATTACTATACTCATGATTCATTAACAATCTCTAAAAATACCTACAGACCCTGCTTGCCTCACATTTTATGGGTGGCCATTCCAGAGAACAGCATCGCAGGTAACTGGAATGAATCCCAGTAAAATGAACCTCACGGGTTTTTTTTTCACTCAATATTTTGTTCGGGCTTTTAAGAAGATCAAAATCGAAAACAAGTACCATGCTTGGACTCTCTTTTCGTCATGAATGCAAACATGAAATGAACCATGACGTTAAAATAAAGAAATGAGAAGTCAGCGCTTTTAAAACCCGATGCTTTTGTTTTCAAAGCCTGTTGTTTATGTCCGCAATAATCCCAAGTTAATAAAAATGAAAACCGGTTTTGGCACCAAAATACCTATTGACGTCACTTGCGTTTTTCTCCTCTCTTAAAAAAAAATAATAACAAGTTATTACACATTTTGCCCCGACAACTTCGTGTTATTTGACATGGATCACGTGTGAGGGGAAAAAATGAACAGTATTATCTCAGTTTTAATTATTATTGCCTCTGGCACTTAATTCATCTTGTAAATTAAGCGTTCCTTTTTTTTGTTTTTTTTCGTTTCTTCTTTTGCCGTTATCATCATTGGCTTGGGTAAAATGCAATTCAACCGGGAAGCAGGGTATGCGTCTGCACCCATGATAATAAAATTAGATAAGGTTAGCGATTTGCAGTTTCATTTTGGCTTGAAAATAGCCTGCTAGAATTAACAGATTACGGCGAAACTCAAGGGATTATATAACTCTAAAATCTATTCCCTTTCGCTTAGAAGATTCAACATCTCCTAATTCTGATCACGGAGCCAAAAAAAATTTCCTTCAGTTTTAAGAAGTAAAAACTTTTGGGGACAAACAGAATAAGGGGAAGAAATGAAAACGAAATTTTAGCAATACTTTGCCACAGTTGCTAAATGAAAAGTACTTATATATTATAAGATAAGTGTAAACACTCTATTTAATTTCTCGCGCAAAATCTATAATCAAGAATTGTCTTTTTCTTGGCTTATGTCACGACTTGATATGAATAAAAAAAAATCAACAAAAGCAACAAACGACATCAGCAACAGTGATAGAGCATCCAAAATACTCATCGGAAAATCGAAGGTTCGAGTCTTACTGGAAACACTCAGATTTTTTTTTTCTTTGAGTATGGCTGTATCATTTACTGATTTCACTATTCACAATTTGTTTATAAGTTAAGTTTGGCGGCAACCCGGTATAAAAAAAAAAAAAAAAAAAAAAAAAAGAATAGATTACAAGACGCGCTAAAATAGAGGAAGGTTTGTTTTGACTTGTCAGAGACCGGAAGAAGAGAAAAAAAAAATACCGCAGAAATAAAACTCATCAATACATAGAGAAATAAGAAGAAGAACATAATCAATTTATTTTGCCTCAAGAAAATGGCTTTAGTCCACTGAGGAAATCTTACAGCTGCCATATAGTATTCTCAAAGGGAGAAAAATATCTCAGTATTGGGAATCGAATTTTCATAGCGTTCTTAGGTGTGAACCAAATTTTGAAAACCGCAGTATTTCATCAAAATAAAAATCAGATTTTTTCTTTGCGCAATTTTCATCAGCAGATCGAAGTATTAAAAAAAAATCCTTCGGTATATTGCCTTGATATTCGGCTGAAATATCGCTCGAAAGTTAATCTTCGCGTCTCCTCAAGGTACAATTGACAACATGAAATGAATTAAAATATATTTCCTGACAAGGCCGTCGAGACCTCACTCACAATAGTTTTGTACAAACCTCGACTTGAGCATCGCAGCAGAATTTCTTGCCTATGAAGGAAACTGCTAGCATTTCAACTGTCAATATTTTCCTTTTCGCGAGAAGAAAAGTGGATTTCTCTCAGATTTTCCAAGTTGGCGTCGAAAGCGTCTCTCATAAGCTGCAGGTGATCGACGAAACACGTTTACGAATACATTAGCATAAATTATTTATCAATTTCACAAATCTAGAATTTGGAATTGCTTTGCCAATTGGCAGAGAGATTTGTATCAACGTCGTTTTTAAATGCTTATAACAATAAATTTTCCGTGGCTTTTGTCAATAGTAAGATGCAATTTGATGAGAGTTTGTGTAAAATTGAAATTATTTTTCGACGATGAATAATGACTTTAGGAAGACTTAAATTTTACAACAAGCACTCGATGTATCCACCGCCACCAATGGAGTAAAAAAAAAAAAAAAATGAAAATGAATGAAAAAGCTGAAGCAAAACGAGGAAGCATATAAAAGAAGATTTGAAAGTTGATGATTCAGTTTTTTCTCTGTCTCCAATCAAACCGCTCTTATCGATAACAACGACGTAAATGAATAGAACACAAATTAATGAATTTAGTAAACGAAGAAATTATGAAAAAAGAAGAAAATTCCCTACATTATGAAACAATTGACATCCGGCCTTCAACTTGGCGCACGAAACTGTTCGTTAGCCTCAGCCACAGAGTTCCGCGCAGCGCACTCACAATTTTTATTTTTTACTTTTTTTTTTCATCTCGCGCGATGGACTTCGCCGATAAGGAAGGACTGCTCGTGGGGTCAGAAATATGCCAACCTGGGAAGAATTACAGGTAAGAAAGGATGTAGGCATTAATGCCCTTAGAATAGTTCTTCGTTGGAGGAATGTCTTAGGCCGAGTGGCCACTTGCGTAACGAAAATTTTGTTGTCACGCAACGCTTCGACATCGAGCTCACATGGCGTGACCACGTAGGAGAACTGGGACCCACCATATCCCTTGATCCCTCACTCACCAGGTTATGTAAGCCAAAATGGCGGCGAATATGCGAGTGCGGGTGTCACTCTTCAGTTCTTCTTCTTCATTCCGGTATTTTTTACGATCTAATGCCATTTTGAGTTTGAATGCAATTCTACCATCCATCTCTATTAAAGAGAAGTCTACAAAAGCTAGCGATGATGAACAGCCACAAACTTTGGTTCCTCAAGAGGTCGAATTCGGCCGGACAGTCCACGTTGGAAATCTTCGACAGAGTACGAAATCCGATTTAATTGATTACTTTTCCAAGTATGGCGAGATTGAGAAGGTAGATTTGATGCTTACGAAGTTCTCTCGTTTGCCCCGAGGATTTGCTTTCGTGACATTTTGTGAAAAGGAAAGTGCGAAGAAAGTTCTCGCCAATAGTCATCCAATCGTTGCAGGAGACAACATAACTGTAAACCCACTAAGGACCGAAAAGAAGCTTCCCAAGCACACAAACAAAGATTTAGTAGTGCTTGTGACCAGTATTTTGAAAACAACGAGTAAAAAAGCGATCGAAAGCCATTTTTCTCAATTCGGGAAAGTCAAAAATGTCATTCTTGCTCAGGAGGGAAAATCGGATGGTGAGTTAGACAAATATTATGTTGCACTGTCGTCGATTTCTGAGGTGAAGAGATCCCTTGAAGAGCCGACGCAGAGAATTGCTGAACAAGATATCGACTCCAAGGTGATGGCATTTTCAGATGCTGAGCAAGTTTTACAGCGTTCCTCAAATCTTTTTGTTCGTTCCTTAGAAGATAATGTATCCGTGTATAGTTTGAGAGAGTACTTTCAAAACTTTGGAGACGTAGAATCCGTGGAAGTTTTTTTAGACAGTCCTAATGTTGGGGACTCTTTAACTGTGGCATGTGTTCACTTCTCTAAAGAATCTACGATGGATAAATTTCTGGAGAGGGAAGATCATGTTATAAATGGCATGCGATTTGAAGTTTTAAAACGTAGAAGTGTGCTTCCCTGGACAAGAACTAACCGGCAGAGAATATCAGTGGAGGGCTTGCCCCTGTCAATTGGGAAGCGGGATGTTCAGCAATTCTTCAAAAATGTAATTGAATTAGACATACAAATTGTCTTTTTCAGAAAAGATTCTCTAAATGGAAAAGTTCATTGCATTATAAGATGTATAAACCCCAAGGATGTGACAAGGATCCTGGCCAAAAAATATGCACAATTTCAAGAAGAAAAATTACATTTTAATCCCCTTGTGTGGAGCAAGAGTAGACCTGATTGAAAACTTAACCTTTAACTCCCAAGATCTGATTGTTAATTCTCCCTTCTTACTGTAACACATTTCCTTGTGAATCAGTTACAAGAATTTGGTGTTGGATTAAGACACCAACTTCAACTTGATAAATTTGAGTATTCTCGTTACCTGTTTGCAGGATAATGTATGGATATTATAGGGAGAAGTTACATGTCAGTCACTTCTGGGGAATTAAAGAGTTAAGTAACTGAAAGTAGATATTGTTGGCTTCAGAGAATCTATTTTTCAAGTGAGCATTTACAAAGGGAAAAAATACTATGACCCTTTTATTCTGAGGAGTAATCCATATGTAAAGTAATAAGAGGAAAGAAAAGTATAACCAGTTTAGATTGAGATTCTCGCAGCTTAAATCCTAAGAAATTGTGGCACACATTATGGAAAATTGACACTGAACAGTGCTCCAACCTGTGAACATTTTGGTAACCATGGCAAGTGAACATATTTGGGGACTAAAATTTAAACAGATGTTGTCAGTTGGCGACCAACAGATTAAAAAAAACAAAAAACAGGGAAAGAAAAACATCTCTGAAAAAATTAATGAAAATGTTGCAATTAAATTGTCCACCTCACTAAGTAAATGATGTAGTGCAACATGAAATATCCTCCCATAAATGTGCATTTTTTTTGGGGGGGGGGGACAGGGGGAGGTGGTGCAAAAGAAGGTGACCTAACTTTAAAATTGAAGGTCACCAAAAGACAACTTTTTGAAGTCCTGCTTAGGTCATGGGATTGGTGGGTAAAAAGAGGTTGTACAAAGGAACTGGTCAGTGAAACCAATGAGAATTGTTCAGTTTCATATCTCTTACCTTTGTGTGACACTGTAATTACAGTAGAACCCTGCTTACCACATCCAGTCGACATGAAGCCCTCGCCAACTTTAACAAGTTCCAATTTCCCTTGGATTTGGGCTAATTTTCCAGTCATTTACCATGAACTAACTCAAACTCACTTAACTCAAAAACTCTGAAAACTCAAATTGATTATTCCTGCCCTTCATTCAAATTTACCCCCAAACTTAACTCATTAATTTTTCCAGATGTGATGACATTCATGAAAATGGAAAACCTTTATTTATATTGAAGACTGAATAGGAATAAAGAATAAGCCGATAGTCCTTTCCAGACCCTCCACTCCTTTCCCAACCTAGTTTGAAATTACTAGACCCCAGTCTTCAATAGTTATGGCGGTCCACTTTGATATTTTCACTGTGTGTTTTCAATGACTCGGATCTTCTAGTTTTCAACCCACAATCGGACTTTGAAAACACTAATTTTGGTTAATTTATTTAGCACCGAGTTTGCTGGGTCAAAATCTTGGAATTTTTGTGGAGATCTTAACGCTTATTATGGATGTTGATCAATTCTTGTCAACTGTGTTTCCGTCGAAAAGAGATGAAGACATCGCAACTCCCAGGTATTTCGCCGGAATATTTTCAGCTCAGTACGCTGCAATAGTTTTATGTGGCAAGAGTATAAAAATAGAGAAAACGACTAAACTTCGTGAATGCTTGCTCAATTCTGGCCGGCCAACTTGTGTACATGTCTAATTATCTTGTACACAAGACGCTAGCTAGCTTACTAACTCATTAAATCGCACGATCGTACGCACGAAACTTACGATTGCATATTGGAGTAATTCTCCGAGCCTTAGCTTTGACGTATCCTCTGTGAAGGTAGTCTGGCTGTTATATCCCCTTTTCATCAACCAACACATATACTGACTTGATCAGAAATATCCGAATATTACACTCACCAGCATGATTATTTAGACTTTGATTCTGATGACGACCTCTGCTTTGGTTATCAAGCTGTCAGTCACCGTCATTGGCAATTCATTTTTATTCAGGAGTACCCTTAACTAGACGATCAGGCCACATAATTGATGCTGCTGACCATCACAGAACAAATTTTTTGCAATGTTCTGTGTAGACACTTGACTGAAGTATAAAATAGTATTTTTCCCACATAACTTTTAAACAGTGTTAAGTTATAAATTATAGTATAGTAAGAGTGTGAGATCAAGATATCTCCAGCCATTAATTTTGGTTGCAAACTGCAACAGAGGGAGTCCTGCACAGGCATGATTGGCCTAACATACCAGTGCCTAGTAGGGCTTTCAATAAGATATTTTTACCTGGCTATAGAGACAGCTACCTTAACATGTGACCTAGATCTCCTAGGGGAAAGTAAAAGAGGCTCAAGTTGTGAGCAACCTGTGTTATAAGGAGCCAGCTGTTGTTACATTTGCTCTTGAAGGACATGATTTGTGAAATGTCCATGTTTTCTTCTTTCAGACGATTGTTGGAATATGGGACACTTCAGGATCATATTGAAGAAATCCTTGCAAAGTATGATGAAGAAACTAAACCAGGTATTCAGGGATTATTTTCATAATAAGGGAACTCTCCCAGCACAAGATTTTCTCAGAAAATCTTTGACAAGATTTGGTTAAGTTCATAGAAATATATGTGCGATCAGGTCTGAAATCATCTGTTAAATATGGACTTTGAACTAGGGAAGAGGAGAAGAGTGTCTGAGGTACCTTAAACTCCCATGAGTGACCAAGACAGAATTTCTCCTTACAATATCAATACATTATCAGGCAGACAAGTAATGAGAATTAAGGAAGGTATCAATTGTGGGATTTTTAATTGATTCAATACCAAATTCTCCAAACTAACATAATAAAAATTGTATGGTAGACAGTCAGGAGAATTTCGAATGAGATCTTGGCAGTGAAATGATCAACCCTTTACATCTCTACATCATTTTGCTCTATACTGTTCCCAAAACGTTTCTTTTGATACTGACAAGGAGAATTTTTTTGACATTGGAGAGCTTCTTTAGATGGCAATAATTTCTTTACTTCTTGACCTTTGTTTATTTTTTGGTTCAGTAGAGATTCTGTAAGGAGAAATAACATGTTAGTCATACTAGGGTTTAGAAGTATGTAAATCAGCAATACTGATAAATATTTTTGGAATGCTGTCTCAACTCAGACTGAGGTAAAAAAGTCAGTCATTGACACACTCTAGAAACACAACATAACTTTGAAACATCAGTCATTATCAGCAGCTCTTTGGTAAATTTAAGTTTTCCCAGAATTATTAACCAGTTCTTAAAAAAAATTTGACCATTGTTTGTTCTAAATTAGCATTCTTAGTTGTCGCTTAGTTGTGTTATTCCTACTTCAGAACTGGATGCTGAAGAAAGAGCTTTAACAGATGGCAGGATTGGACCAGAGACAGTTGGAGTTGATAGAGCTAGTCTTTGTGGCTCTATGACAATAAATGATGGAATAGAGGTACTGATCACACTAAATCAACTCTGGAATCTTCAATAAATCTTGAAGGAACAAATGTGCAATGTTAAACATGCTATTTATCATGTGAAATTAGAATCCCAAAAGAAATTATGTTTCATCCAAACAGTAGTTAAAAAAAATAGTTTTTTTTTTGCCAGATTGAAAGCAGAAGCAACTTCAGTAGTGTGAGAGCAAATATGTGTGTCTGCAAAGGTAATGATTAGGTTTTGTTTTATTTGTTTTCCTTTAATCTCAAAGAGAGCATCAAAAAACCAAATCATCATTAGTAGTCAAGAATTCTTACTGAAAAATTTGTAGCTCCTTATTGTTTGAGCAGATCTCTAAGAGATGAGAGAGAAAGGGATTTGAGACTTTGTTGAACACAGGCCAGCATGCCAAGCATGATTCAGAACAGCAGCATCTGAATTAATAAAAAGTATCACTTCTTATTCCATCTCTCTAAGAGCCAGTCAGATTTCCTCTAAAGCTCTTGCTCAGAAATTCAACCCTTTAACTCCCAGAAGTGATTAAAAAGTAACTTCTCCCTACAATATTCATGCACTATCCAGCAAACAGGTTATAAGAATACTCAAATATATCAGATCTAACACCAAATTCTCATAACGTATTTACAAGGAAATCTGTAGCAGCTAGAAGGGAGAATCAACAATCAGATCTAGGAAGTTAAAGTGTTAACCTACTAGAGTTAAAAGCATGTTTTAAGGTGGAAAACCTGCAAAGTTTGGAAAGGAAACTAAAATGCACTTTTAAGATTAGATGCAAACTATAGTTTGTAAGACTTGCTTAATAAAGAATAACATTTTGTGCGAGGGAGGGGAAGGAGCGAAGCTATTATTAGGAGGGGGGTTATTGTGTCATTTATGCTAGCAAAAGTTTTCACACTGTTTGTCAGCTCAGTAATAGATAAAAGGACTTTTTGTCGAAACATCCTTACATAAATATATAAGCTTACCTTCCTCTGATAATAGATTTCTTTTTATCTTCAAGGCAAGTGGATGTATGAAATATTGTTAGGCTCCAAAGGAATTATGCAGTTAGGTTGGGCAACATTGCAATGCAAATTCACCAATGAGGTATGAACTTTTTTGACTGCAAGTTAGGCATTTTTTGGAAACTGAAAACAAAAATGGTTGTACATGTAATTTCCAATGAGTCTCCTCCTATGCTGTAAGTCAATTTGATATTGATTGCTTTTAAAAGTGTTTCTGAATATTATTCTCTGTAGTTCTAAAGTACCAATTTGGAATCACAATGTTATGTCATGTCTCTTTTTTACATTCAGGAAGGTGTTGGTGATACAAATGACTCCTTTGCTTATGATGGACACCGTGTCAGAAAATGGAATGTCTCCACAGCAAAATATGGAGAGGTACAGTTTGAATATTTTACTTGTTTTTTTTTGGAATAATTTAGTCAGGCAGACACACAAATCCTTTTGAAATATTTTGTGGCCTTGCTGTTATTGTATGTTCACTGAATATCTGATGGCTATAGTGTGATCTTTAGTAGTTAACTATTTAACTCCAATGTGTGACCAAGACAGAATTTCTCCTTACAATATCAATACAATATGAGGCAGGCAAGTGATGAGAATAAAGAAAATATCACTAAGGGGATTATTAGTTGATTCAACACCAAATTCTCTGAACCAACATCATCAGAATTGTATGGCAGATAGTAAGGAGAATTACTTATAATATCTTGGGAATGAAAGGGTTAAAATTGTTGATATTTTTCAGGAATGGATGGCAGGTGATGTGGTGGGATGCTTTATTGATTTAGATCAAGGTGTAATCTCATACAGTAGGTAAGTTTAAATTGGTGATTGTGATAATATGAATAAAGGGGATAGGTTTCAGAAGAAACTATGGTGCTGCATTGGTGGAAGAGTATAACTGTAATTTAGTGTCATCGAAAGTGTCTTTATTGTTCAAAAGATAAAATTACATATCTTATGTTACATTAAAAAAAGGGTAGAGTGTATCTAAATAAGATAAGTATATACGTGGAAACAAATACAAAAGTCTAATACAGGAAGTACACTTTTACAAAGCTACATTGTACTTAAAAACAATTCTATTAAAAAATGTATTCTTAAAACGTTTGAAAACATTAATTCTCAAATTATACATCTTGGTAGAGGATGGCTCAGGATAGTTGAAACC